CGCTGCAGTGCACCCGAAATGAAGAAGCCTTGTGTGCAGAGCCGTCATCTGCACCTTGGACGTGGCTAAGAATTGTTACATTTAGTTGCCCTTCACGTTCGAAATACCGCGACCGTGCCGCCCCCCCGACAGAGCAACAAACCTCACCATGCGTCGCAGCCCGGCCTCGGTCGCGTATGGCTAAGGCGGGCAGCAATACTGCTCATTGTCACACACAGACTGGCTAAGATGGACCCTCCGTGCGACCTCTCGCCGTTGTTTGGCGGGCGTGATATCAAATTTCCAAGACCGAGCCTGCCAATTGATGGTCTTGTCCACCCCGCAGAGATCGAACAGCCCACAATAGATTGGATTGTTCTGTCCGGCTGAGGAATGCAACGGTGCGACCCCTCCCGCCGCCTTTGATGAGGTTCGTTGTGCGCATGGATGATTTGGCTCATCGGGAGGATTCAACGTCTCGCCGCCGACGCTCTGCGGGGAACGTGACCAAGAGATGCCAGGGACACACACGCCCCCCTCCTGAAATAAACGGCGATCAAGCAAATCGGTGGAGGAGACCGACCGCTTTAAAAAGGCGCATTTAGCTCACGGCGATGCAGAAGCCCCTTACGATATACCACACATGCGGGCGTACCAACAGACGTTTCTTGGGCGCATCTGATCCTCCCATCTTCACCTGCAGCCTCTCTCGCTGTCCAAGACAGGAACAAGAGCCTCGGATGTGACGTCCTAGCACAAACTTTCCTTGTCAGCCACATCAGAAGGGCTCTGAGCCAATTGTCAGCGAACGCTGATGAATCAATTTAAATGGGGAACTCGGTCTCCCTACCGACTTGCCCATGCAGTAAGACGAGAAAGAACATTCCATGAGCCGTGGCAAGGTGAGACAGTCTCGGAAAAAAAAAAAAAGGTCCCATGGGCAGATTCAGCTTGCTTCGACGATTCAGATGACACACTTGCTGCTGGCTCAGTTTTCACTCTCGCGGTCGGACTGGGATGATTTGACCCCGCGGCTACTGGCTGCTGGCCGACTCGGCCCAGGCCCGCCGATGAAAGTCGGAGCAGTTGGATTGAAGGTTTTCGGACCTCGAACGTGACTTGCGAGCGAGATACGGGCGTCCGGGGAACTGGTAAGACGCACGGTTCGTAGGGCTAGACGATTCATGCGTCGTGGCTGATGACGGCCTGTTTACTGGCATGTCTCAACTAAGAAGGGGCGACGTCTGAGAGACTAGAGACGAAAATCCGATCTCGAAGCTCTGCGCCCCCAGTGGTTTGATACACCTCGTCGTCGTATTTCGGCCATGCAAAATGAAGCAGATGCTGGGACGAAAGACGATTCGTGGAACGAGACGGACCACGACAACAGACGGACGGGTGTATGTGAGATGGGCACGTATGGCTTGTCTCACGACACAAGTCAGCCTCGTGTGCGTGTGTCTGTCTACCGTCTTCCGTCTCTCGCTCTACTTCTCACCTCAGCCCAGTCCGACCTACTAGCCAACTCTCCCTCTGCTGTCCTTGACGTGGCTTGAGCGGGGATGCGGGTGATCCTCTCCAAAACTGTGGCTGAGGCTCCGGCGGCAACGAGGCGTGGCCGCACAGGGAGGCCGATCCCATGGGGCCACACGGACCAACCACCACACGTCGTCCGGACACTGGGGCATGACAGGTTCTAGGCTACAGAATTACTTTTGTTTCTATTTTGAAAAAAAGCACATCATCTCGATTGCTACTGTGCATGGTTCGGCCCTCTTTGGTTTCCTGTCGAGATCATGACCAGCGGCCGGCCAGAAAGGTGTCATCCGAACGGCCGTTTGTGGACTCTAGGGGGCCGGTATGGAGACTGAAAGATATTATTTACGAAGGATTTCAATCGAGAACGGGGCCCGGGCAGGATATCGCAGAACAGAAAGGCGACTGCTGTCGGTGAGAAGGATGCCAGCACTACGCTGTCGTCCTCCATCTCCGACAACTCCTGTCAAACGGATGTGGTCCGGACCACCGCCCCTCTTGGTCCGGACTCTCGCGGCGTGTGCAAGCCGGATATCTCGTTTCAATGTAGGGCATCAATCTCCCGCCTGTCTGAATTGTGTGAAGGAATCACGGGGTAGGGGTGGTGGTGTTCAACGGCCGCATAGAACATGTCATGAACCATGGCGGCATCCCGCTCAATTTCGATGAGATTGACTACCCTAGGATACCGCTGTGTTGTCTCCCATGAAGCGGCGGCGGCGGCAACCCTTGGGGAAAGATTCTTCAACAGTTTGACGCCCTTGGAGACCATGTTCTAGCCCTCTTCGCGATTTCAAATACCGCATCCCATGGGATTTGGCACAGTCCGCCTGTTGCAAGGAACCTGGCTGGAAGACGGCCTTGCGTGTTCTTCTCGTCCCCATCGGCCCCGACTTGGCCTGCCTCATTATCACGTATCGAAAGGTCCGCTTTAGCCGCTTCGCTGCCCATCACGAAGCATCACCATACGTGGCTCTCTACATCCGGACCTGCTGCTACCTGCCCGGTCCTGGGTTGACCCCTCTCATCAGCGACATCATTTCCCTACTTGGCAATGGACAACCCTCACCCCTCCCTGGCTGGCTGCAGCGACGATATTCTCAACAAAGTCTTACCATTGAACGACCTCAGTATAGCTTCCAGACCCCGGTGGCCAAATCTAACCCCCGTCATAGCTCCCTGAGAGAGGGGAGCGGGTGATGGAGGGGTATCGTCTTCCATCACTCCCCCCATTCACGCCCCCAATACCGTCGTCTTGAGTCTTCCTGTCCTTGTTCTTCCCTGCCCATGTCTGGCTGTCCTATCCCATCACGGCCCAGGTCTACCCTTCCCAGTGCAAGAGGCAAGGATCGAGATCCTCCCGTCCAACTCCTTTCCCTCGTTCTGGGTTTGAATTTTCCCTTGCCTGCGTGCTTCTACCCTGCCCCCCCCCTTTCTCCTGCTCCTGCGGCGGCAGGAAGAAGGGCCGTCAAGCTCAGGCCATTCACGGCCTCTTCCTGGGGTTTCCGTACCTGTACCTGTGACGGGGTGGCTGTACTCTCTACCTTGGCCGCCCCTTCGCCTTGTTCTTCCTCTAGGCTTCCTCCCTTGCCCCCGGTCCTGCCCTGCCGCTTGCTCGACCTGTCGGGCCCGAAGGAGACATCGATGCTGTATGCGGAAATGAGAGGCAAGCGCGGAGATGCGCGCTGCAGGCTTTTTTTCTGTGTCTAATCGACTCCATTGCTGCGGTCTGCGGCTGCGGCAGCTACTGCTGATGGTGATGCTGCTGCGGACTGAATCATTCGCTACGCGATGCTCATTTGCTTTGCTTCTTGGTATGTAATCATGTCTGCCTGCTAGTCTCCCCCTTCCCACCCTTTGCATAGTATCACCCGGGCTCCTCCGCGGGATATCTCGCGTCGAGGTAGGCCCGAGTGGGAGAAGCAGCAGCAGCCACCGCCATCGCCAAGGGTGTACTGCGCATACGGCAGGAACCTGCTGCATACATGGTGTACGTTTTCTAGGCATATGTTGGTTCCTACAACCGACGGCCGGCAAGGTAAGATAGATAGCTTCTGTCACGAGAGGAAGGTAAAAAAGAATTGAAGAAGCGTATTCGTAGAGGGAAAAGGGGGAGGAGGGGTGCGAGAGCATGCTGCTGAAGGCAGGCAAGTTCCGGCCAAACCACCTTTTGCAGTCCGTACACACACCTCTCTCTCTCTCTGTCTCTCTCTCTCTCTCTCCGTTCCGTCGGGCCACTTGGGATGATGTACTTCAACTTGAATCCTCCATGATGTTTTGCCGCCGCCGGTGGCTACCGTCCGCTTCCCCGGCATGAGGAAGGGGAGTGGCAGCCATGTTGGTAAAACAAGAAACGAAGGATCGCAACGAGCAGAAAAATGCAATGCCATCACGTCCCAACCAACATACGCGCTCGGTCAAACAAAAATCGGTGTTGGAAGAAGAAGCCACAAACTCGCATGACACTCCACACTTCCCCATCCATCCTCCACATGCCGTTGCCTTTGCCGCCGCCGCCGCCGCCACCAACAACAACCACCACCCGAACGGGACACACTCGCGCTCATACACATTGCCAGAAAGCAAAGAGCTTCTTTTGGGTTGTTCCTTCCCACCTTCCCCATCTCCTATCCTCCCCTTTGGAGCAGTCGAGACGAAACGGAACTAGAGCATGCAGATGCAGGTCTATCTATCGCATTAGGAAAAGGAGGCATTTCTTGTTTTTTTCTTCTCTTTAGGGTTATCGGCAAGGCAAGACAAGATCTGGGAAAAACCAAAAGGAGGAAGGGAAAAAAGCAAAAGAGGGTGTCATGCAGCAGCATCAGCAGCAGCGGCCAGCACCAGAAGGCAGCGCCAACAGCAGCAGACAATAGACTTTTTGAGCAAGATAGCGGATCTTGCTCGATGTGGGATCGTGAAACCTAACGGTTCAGCTTTGATCGAAAACGGCATGCGCTTGTGTACTCCAGATATACCTTATCGCCAGGTCTGGAATATCATGGTTCAGGGGTGAATGAACTCAATGACCGCTGCTTGTATGTCGATAGACACTCCGGGTGCCATAGCTCCTCATCCGCGCCGGACGGCCAGAGTTGGGGGAACGGGGACAAGCTGGAGGGGTAGCTGTCACAAGCTTCACTACGGCGACGACGACTGCTGCTATCTCATGTAGACGGAGTGAAGAAAAAGGCTCGTGAAAGGTCTCTTTTCGATGTATTCAACAACAACCAGGGGGGATATCAATTAACGGAAAACGAAAAAATGGAAAAAGCTGGCCCTAATAGAGAAGGAGTAGCAATCCAAATAGCAACAGACATGCTTTGCGTCTGGTATTCCCGTCTGGTTTTTTTTTCGCATATGCCGCTGTCGCTGTATGCAGGCTCGACGCCGGCCCTGGACCCCTAATGCTCCCTTCTCCGCGCACGCGCGCGTGCGTGCTCTCACTCATCCGCCCGACCACCGTCTTCTTTTCTTGTCTTCTGTCTTCACAATCTCCCGTGGCGAGCCTTGAAAATCGCCACCTTGTCGTCGTAAAATAGAATTTCGCGGAGTCGGAGGCGAGGCCGCGAGGGGCCGAAAACCGCGTCGCGCAGAGACTCGTCGTCCGAGTCCTGGGCCGCAGACACCTCCGACTGTGTGTCGTCCGCGTCCACTGCGCTTGCTGGGGTATCATCGTCGTCGTCGTCTTCCTCTTCCGAGGTTTCTTCATCCATCTGACTGGCCGTCTCCTCGTCCGTGCCGGCATTGTCGTCTTCGTCATCCTCGTCATCGACACCGGAGTCGTGTGCCATGACGCCGTGGTGGTCGGCCGTGACACTGGCAATCGAGCCGCCACTCTCCTCCGCCGGCTTGCTCTCCAAGATCTCAAAGCACTTTGTTGAAATGCCGACATAACACAGCTGAATCTCGGGGCGTAAGGTTATGATGTCCACCATCTGCAAAGCCAATTCTCTTGGCTCAAAATTGCCGACTATGTGCTCAGCGACGTGCTGAAGATTCAGCGATCGCAAATGCGGAACGTTGGGCAAACGTTGAAGGAATGTGTGCTGTGACAAGACCATGGGTTAGCTTTGGTCTATTTTTGCAGGTATGAGGTGGCAGAGGTTATCGTGCCACAGTAATCGAGGACGTCATGAGTATTTCAGCTCACAGGCCAGAAACCAGCAGCAGCGAATTTCACATGCCACAGATAACACACACAAAAAAAAAGTCACTTACCCAGTCTTTGTAGTGCAACGATATGGCGAGCTCCCTGAGGTTTGACATCCGTCCACTCGTCATGTACAGCAACATGTCCGTCGACAACACCCAATTGCGCCAACGAGAGTTGTCCGCTGGTACGTTGCCGTTCTTCCGATCCGAGCTGTCCAGTAGAACCTTTTGCAGACTTGACCGATGTTTCTTAATGACCCCCTTGAAAACCTGCTCAATGGTCGCAGGCTGAGGCCCTACCCGTCGACGATCCTGCAAAAACAGCACCTCCAAACTGTTGGGCGCCAGGGTGTCCCTCAGGAAGCTGACCAGGGCACTTGAGACGGTGTCGGTATGGATGCTCTTGAGGCAGAGGTGATACTCCATGGGCTGCTTGCTCGCGTTCGCCGCATGTGATCCGAGCCTCGATGCAGGCGCTGGTGCGAACTGCCGCCGCAGGCCCTTCCAGAGGTGCTCGCTCTGCACGCAATCCAGGATGGTGATGTTGGTCAAGACCGTCCAGTCAAACGCTTGAATGCACACCTGGATCGAGAGATTGACGCGCTCGAGTTCAAGGGTGCGCAGCTTGAGTTTGCCTTCCAGCCTCTTTCGCGGAGTCCGCGGGGACGCGTATGAATGCTCGTTACCGACAAGAGTGTTCTGCTGCTCGTCGGACGGCCGGTCCTCCACGGAAGCGCCGTGGCCTTGCTCGGGGTAGGTGACCGCTTCCTCTGTAGTCTGGTCTACGAGCTGATCCTCCGAACCAACCTCAGTGGCCTCGTCTGCGGGTGCGGCGTCTTGGCCGGCGTCCACGTCGACATGCTCGTTCGTGTCCTGGGCCGGCAAGGTCTCGGTATCGTCTGCGTCCACACTTGCGTCGTTTGACGACTGCGTCGTTGGGGCAGACAACAATGGCGCCTTTCCCCTCGACCTCGAGCTTGCCTTACGGCGGATGTCATAGACCCGACCGACGAGCACGCCGAGGACGCCGCCCAGTCGCTTGTCTCCAATGGAGCTCTCGCCAGGCCATCTGGCTTCCCGGTCGATCTGGTGCAGGTCGGGACCGTCCCACGGCTGGGCAAAGTCCTTGTTCACGGCCTTTTGCGAGATACCGACGCGCAGTTCCTGCAGACGGACTTTGGATCTCTCAATCACCATGGCCATCTCATCCAGGTAGGCAAGCTCGTCAATGTCCAACACGGTCAGGCTCTTGAGCGGCGGCAAAACGCAAAAGGTGGGAAACTCGACCCGTGTCTCGGCGTACGGCAGCGCAGGCCGGGCGCGGGGCAGGCCGGGCCCGGTGATCAGGTAGCCGATGGCGGTGGCGTTGTTGTTGGCAGACGTCGCCGGATGCGGAGGAGCCGGGCTCGAAGACGTTGAAGACGTCGTCCCCTCGTAGTTATCGTGCCACCTCACCCAGACCTTTTCCAGCTTCGATTCGCCGTCTGGGCTGTGCTCCGAGATAGACGCTAGTGCCATGAAGATGTCGGACAGGACTCCGGTGGGCATGTCCCAGACAAACGCCTCCAGGTTGACCATCTTCTCGACGGCCAGTGCCACCAAGGTACCCAGCATCTTGCCGCTCTCCTTGGAGATCATGTACTCCGCGACCCAGTCGGTAGGGCCGTTGCCCAGCGAGAACTTCCTAGTGTACTTAGCGTAGTCGTTCTTCGGTCTCCGCTTGAACGGGACAGGGCTCGCCATGTTGTACGTGGGCTCGAGCATCTTGCGCATCCGATGGGCGAACGAGCTGCCGAGGCAGATTGTGGACAGGCCGTACGTGAGGGCATCGACGCTCTTGCTGTCGGACGTGTTCATCTGGGTGGCGTCGGGCCAGACAATGTCAAATCTCGAGTAGATGTGGGGGATCGCGAGGTTGTGGAGGTTCGAGTTCGTCAGGGCGAGAGACGTGAGGTCGTTCGTGTGGGTGATCTACAAGCGCAAGAGTCAGCGGGAGGGCGAGGCAACAGCGGTCCATCGGAACTTGCCTCCTTAATGATCAGCCGCAAAACGTCCACCGGCAGCTCGAGCAGGGTGAGCTTCTTGCCCGACGACTTGGTGGACGTGACAGCGTCCCACTCCTTGTCCTTGCCCTTCATGAGCTTGCGCATGATGGCGGAGGGATCCTCTCCGGCGTCGGTGTCGTCATCGTCAACCACAGTCGCATGGTTCCCGTACGTGCCGTCGTGGATGGGCACGACGTGCTGGTTCGGATGCGACTGGGCGAATTGATGGGTGGTAGGGTCGGTTGTTTGCAGGGCTGGAGCCATGGTGAGGAGGGCTCAGCGCATTCTTGTCGAGGGTCAGCTAGGTCGGTGGTCGGGAGAGATGGCCTCTCAGGTGCGACGGTTGATGGAGGCGCAGGACGTGTGGAAATATGCTGCGACGACGAGGACTGCAAGATCGTAATCGTGGGTGTCGGGAGGGGAGGGCGCGTCTGTGGTTTTGAAGCTGGCGCCGGGTCAAAGAGCGCGCGGTAGAGGCAATTCGGGGAAGGACTGCCGTCAAAGAAAGCAGGAGGGATATCCTTTGTCGACGGTTCAGTTTGTATCGAGCAACAGCAATGGTGAATCCGAGCCAATCATGTCCCGACCATGGACAGGTTCAGGGATCGTGGTGATGTTGCGGCTCTTCGGTGAGGAGGCGGCGGTGGTGGTGGTGCGTTGGTTGGTCGGACGTTGTCGATGGTTCGCCGGCCAGTTCCTGTTTAGCCTTGCTCCGCGCTAAGGTGACGACGGTCTGATTGCTTTCTTTCCCCCAGATATTACTGTGTGTACGTACCGCCCGAAGCCGACCACTCCCAAAATAATGACCAAAAAGAAACAGTTGAGGTGTGCAAAGGAGGGGAGGAAACGCCTCCAAAATTCAGGTGAGGAACTTTGAATGGTGAGGCAAAGCGAGCGGCAGTCCAGCGGCCAGGCAGGTTCGTCCGTCAGGTCAGGACCCGGAAGGCGCTGCGCTGCGGTGGGAAAGGTATTGCGACTGCGGTGCACTGTGACGGCGGTAGGGGACCCATTCGCCGCAGAGACCCACCGGTACCCCAGAAATGATTCAGCCAGTAGTGTTTGACGCCAATAGAGACACCTGACAAAGTACCGCCTCTGGTCCCGTCGGCGCCGGGGACAGTGGAGGAGCTCCAGCTTCGTTTGAGGTCCAGTGGCCACCGGCCAAGTGGGCTGCCCAAATGGCAGTTCTCTGCCTCACACAGACAGGCCTGCCACGCGTGCCACGATCCAGGGAGATTAAGCGCACCTACAAAACGTCCAAAAATCCCGAACCAGGTGGAGGGACACGGGATTCACAGCCTCTGGGTCAACAGTCTGATTTGACGTCTCGGCCGATGAGACAGCCCGCGAGCTGCTCAGTCTTCAGTGGTCTGCCTGCATCCTCTGTACCATCAACAACCCTCTCCTTGGATGCTTGTCTCGATTATGGGAGCAAGGTTAAAGACACAGCACGGCGCCTTGTTCAATCTGGGCCATTTCAGCTCCGAATAAACCCAACTCACCTACCCCAGCCCAGCCCTGCTCGGGTGGTTCAGCTCAGCTCAATCTCGCGCTGGCTGCAGTTCTCTACGATCCGCCCTGACGTCCCCGTGTCCGAGAGTCCTCCTCGATGTGCCGTTGCGCACAATGGGAATTAAGCTTTTTACATGATCTGCGCGCCATCGATCTTCAGTTGACATCCGGGGGCCGTCACCTGTCTGAGCTCCAAGAGCCCTCCGCGTTTCCGCGGTCCATCTTGCAGAAGCCACGTCCAGGGAGGAGAGAGTCAGGGCGCAGGTGCCTGCAATTGAAACCGCTGATCCGGGAGGGCTATCGCCGATGAGGTGCCTCGGGCGTCGTGGTGGTGCATTCAATGGACCTGCAAGGTGCGACGGACAATGGCTGGAAGCAAGACTGACGACGGACTTTCAAGCAACAGAGGGAGACGGGGGCAATTAAAAACAGAATACCGCGACAAACCAAAACCCGACATTGTGTCAACGGGTGCCGGCTTCCACGGCCAAATCTGGTCAGCAGGGCCGTCGCCTCGGATCGGCTCAACTAAGGCATTGTGTACGAGAGGTCACGACCCATCGAAAAGGGCCGCGACGGTGACGTTTTACGGCCATGGAGGGGTCATTCCGACGCGGGATGCCCTGCAACGCAGACTGACTGGCTTGGCTCCTTTACCGCACGTATTACCGTGAGGAGCCGCGCCGTCTGAAGTGTTTGCAGTGTGGTTGTGAATGACGGCTGTTGGTATGCTAGGCATCCATATGACACCAAGGCAGTCGCTGGTGTTGACGCACCTATCCCGGTTCCGAACTGTCCTTCTGAAGCCCAGCATCGCGAGGCCACGGTCACCTCTTTGCAAATGCCACTTGTAAACTTCACTCAAGGCAACGGTGTCTTTCCAGTTGACTACACATGCCCTGCCCTGCAATACACTGTTCGTTGGGCCGGAAACACACGTGTCTCCCATGGATTGTTGATGTTGCTGTCCTCCCATCGAAAACGCGGATACTTTAAGACGCTGTTCCCCGCCATGGCCCGCGTTATCTAAAAAGTACCCTCCCGTCCTCAAGACCACACCGGACCCCTCTCCTGCACACCACACCAGCTACCTTCCACCACCACCACGCTACCAGCCGCCTCCCCCAGCTGTTGCGCGCATACTCGTCCGGAAAAAAGCACTATTTATTATGCGCTCTTACCGCCTCGACTCTCCAGTCTGACTACCGCCGTAAACAACATCACTTTATTACGTCGCGACGAAAGAAGCTCGCACCAGCGTTACATCAGCCATCCGACGCCCCGCAGTTGAGCCCGGTGCATCATCGTCATCACAGCCCAACGGAGCCGACTCCTCCAGCCCCCAAACCTACTGCATCCATCCCCAACCCGAGCGGTCTACCCGACGAAACCGCGCCGACTCTTCCTCAGAAATCCCACCCCATCGACGACCACAACCGCAACCATGGCCGACTTCGTAGTCAAGCTCTGGGAGTCAATCTTCACCCCCGGCCCGACGCCCACGCTCCTGGTCGCTACCAACGCCACCTTCGCCGCCCTCCAGGTCCTCCTCCTCTTGCTCTTCGTGGGCACGTATAGCATACACTTCGTCATCCTGTCTTTCATCTCCGGCGGCCTATGGTACAGCATAAACTGGTTCGCCCGCGAGATCGCCCTCAACAACGAGCAGCAGGATCTCAAGAAGGCGCTTGGGGCCGACACCACGGCTCCCGCCGCCACGGACGATAGCGACACCGAGGTCGAGGGCGCGGCGCCCGGTCGTAAGAGGAAGGTCGCCAGGTCTCGCGTCGCCGGCAGCAGCAGCCAGGTCGAGACGGAGGAGCAGAGGCAGGAGGCGGAGCTGAACCGCAGGGTCGCTGCCGCTACGGAGTCGAACGCCGAGAGTACCAATGCCGACGGCACGCAGTCGAGCGTGAGCACCGAGGACGAGTGGGAGAAGGTGTCAGAGGCCGAGAACGAGAAGGACAAATGAGGGGCGAGGCGGAGGACCACATTTACGACGCGCTTAAATCCCGTCTAGCGATGCGATGCGATTCTATTGTGACGACAGGGAGTTACGCATCGGCGCGATGAGACACTCGAGATACCCATGGGCGGCGTCGATATGATGGGCTTGGAGCGGCACCACGTAGCGGAACAGACTTGTACATATCGTTCTCGTAGCCTGCTCCATAGGGGGCAGCTCAGTACAAACTTTGACACAAAGAAGCATGCTGATGGAAAGTGATTGCATTCAAAGACGCTCTCTACGTCCGGCAGGTCTCAAAAACATGTCCATCCCAAACTCCTAGATTGACCTAACCCTTTCATCCTAGGCAATTGCTACAACAAGATACTGCCGTCTTCCGAAACGCCGTCCCATGCCCGTGCTAGTTTTACAACGTCGGTACCTCAGCCGGTACCAGCTCAAAGATGCTTCAGCTTTCGTGTGGCGAAAGCAGCAACGATGGCGCACATGGCGCCGATGAAGAGACAGACGGCGATGGCGTTCGGGCCGTCCGTGTTGTGGTGCTCATCCTTCGGCGCGTCTGACAGCTCGGGGCTCTTGCCCGGTTCCAGGATCGAAAAGACAATGGAGCTGATGAAGGTGCCGATGAACTGCGGCAGCGTTGTGTAGATGTTGAGGATGCCAAAGTAGATGCCGGAGAGCTCGCCGGTCGACGAGGACGGTTGCGTGTTCTCGTCTGGCCCGTGTTCGAGGTGCAGCGGCTGGTCCTGACCGAGCGTCGGCAGCTCAATGTTGGAGGCATCCGACAGGCGTCGGTATGCCGCGCCGCCGCCTCCTCCTCCCCCGCTCAGCTTGTTGACCTCAACGCCGAGGAACGCCGACGGCGCCCACATGGCTATCGTCCAGGAGAAACCGCAGGCGGCAACGAGGAACGTCGCGAACCGGAAGCTGGTGGCAAAGGGCGCCAGGGACATGGCGGCGGCGAACATGAGGTGTCCAAAGATCCAGGCCGTCATGAGGTCGGGCCTCTTCTTGCTAAACTTCTCCAAAAACGGGGCAATGGCCCGAGGGGGCCGGGCCGTAAAGTTGTCGTCGTCCGGCGATTTGACGATGAGAGGCAGCAGCCAGGCGCCGATGAAGGTGATGGTCGAGTAGATGACCAAGGCCATGCTGCCGATGCGACCGATGTCTCCCAGCGCATCCTTGGAGTCCTTGCCGTCCGCGGCGGCGTCGTAGCGGAAGTAGGTCTCGCCCACCCACGTGGTGCTGTAGAAGAGGAACGGGAACCAGCCGATCCAGGACCAGAACTGCGCCCAGCAGATGGCCTGGATTCTGGGCGGCAGATGAAGCAGCGTCGACCAGATCTGGCGGAACACTTTGAACTTTCCGGTGGCCTGGCGCGGGTCTTGCCTCGTCGACACGAGGACCCTCTCCGTCACGGCCCAGCATGTGACTGCTGACGAGAACAGCATCATGAACGTGGCAATCACCGTGAGGATCTGAAACTGCGAATCGCCCAGCCATGTGCCAAAGATGCCAACCAGGTCTACGGCTCCTGCAATGTAGCCCAGCATGTGCCCGATGGCAGACATCCTGCTGGCTGTATATCTTGTTAGTGAGCAAGCACGAATCCGCCCGAGGTCCACTTACACCATGCAGCGCCGGTCTGCTGCTTCTCGATCGGCAGCGTGTCGACGATCAAGCTTCTTGCGCAAGACATGACTGGCAAGGGTTAGCTCAAAGTGCGCTACATTGGGGCAGCTGATCCTACCGGCATTGATGGCAAAATCCACGACGTAGATTGCCAGCACCGCCAGGATAATGGTGAATATGCGGGCAGTCTCCTTCTCCGAGATGAATATCCCCACAATCTCCTTGGTAAAGCCCAATATTGCCAGGGCAAACGCCGTGATGATCGAGCCCAGCACTATGAAAGGACGTCGCCTGCCCCATTTCGACTTGGACTCGTCCGCAATCGCCCCGACAATGGGCTGCACCACAAGGCCAGACAGAGGGCCTGCAACCCAAACCAGCGATGTGTTGCTCTTCGACAGGCCGAGGTTGAGGAGGTATGGTGTGCAGTCTGCCAACCAAGTTAAGTTAGCCAAGCGATGGCGCGCACAATCGACGAGGCGACGTACAGGTCATCTCAATTCCCCATGTAAAGCTGCATTGCGGCAGATTAGTCAAATGAGCCCAAACGGCAACGACCAAGTGCAACATACGTGATGCCGAGGGTGTTGAACGTCAGGAGAATCATGCGCATAGCCTCAGAGCTCCCCCTAATGGAGGGCTGCCCCGACCAGCTCGACATCTCGGCGGGATCCTGCTCTGTCACGAGAGCGTCGTCTTCGGCGTTGTCGCTATCGTCGTCGTCGTCGTCTGAATCGTCTCGTTCGCCTACTCCACGAGAACCGGTTACTCTCCTGGGCTCCTCTCTGTGCGCTTGGGGTGGTTTCCGTAGCTTCGACAGGTCATCAAGCTGGAGAGGGCTGCTCCTGTCGTCGTCGAAGCTGGAGGATGATCGCGAGGGTGTTCGGATGGGCGTGGATTTGCCGCCCGAATCGTCCGAGGGTGGGTGAAGAGTGGAATCGTGCGACAGCGTCGTAGAGGACGACGTCTGGTCCATTTGAAGATCCGGGGAGGATGGGAGAGAGGCTAGGTGGACCAGCGATTTTAAAGTAAATCCCGGGGGGCGTCGCGGCCGCTGCGGATGTCAGGACCGGACGGCGGCGCGCGCGTCATGCCCGCAGCTCGCAGTGTCTGGTCAGGGATGTTTCTGGTCCTCTGGATGCGAGGTGCAGCAACAGGTGCAGGCCAAGGGACCAAGGGAGGGGTGGTGAGAGCTGAGGAAGCTCTGGTGGGCCGGGCGATAAAAGTAATATGGGGACGGATGCGCGCTGCAGCGTATTGCACGGGGGAGATTTGGTGGAAGCACGCGCAAGGGAGATGTGCGATACGAGAGATGGGGTCTGCTGAAAGTGGCCGGTGAGATGGAGCAGACGGGAGCGCACACTCTCTGGCGGCTGCGGGCGGTTGGGATAAAGTATGTAATGATTAGGTACTAGATGTCGGGGATAGGGGCGGCGCATTTGATACACGGACGGACCAGGACGAGAAGAGCATGACGGACGGTGCGGATGGGGTCATCAGCTCCAACAAGAAGCGTGGCTTGATGGAGAGATACTGCGACATTCGTGAAAACCTACTGGACACAACGAGGATGCGAGGGAGCACAAATGCTGCCGTGCGTGGATAACAAGAGTCCAGACGGCACGAGTAGTGTCTCGTCTAAGTGGCCTGGTGGAAGGTGTCTCCCTACCTGGCCTGTCGCCGTGCCTCGTCTCCCTGTCATTTGTTTCCCCGGGCGAGGTGCTGTTGGAAATAGAAGCCAGGTGGAAGCCGACGGGCTTCTGGTGCTGAAGCTCTGACCAGGGCGGACAGAGGGAGACTCCGAGTCGTCGGCATGTCCAATCAACTGGATCTTGTTCCTGGTCGCTAATATGCATCTAATTAACGCGTGAGCCTACGTCCATTCTCTCGGCGCTCCAGCATTGCAACGTGTTCTGGTTGAAATACCCCTTGCATTAAACCTTAATAGGTCAGTTGTCGAGCCGTGGTTGTGACAGAGACAGAGGCACTCGAGACCCTTGATCATCGGTCTGAAGAGGAATGCTGCTGTCTAGGGCCAGGCGTTGGGACACGTTGAATTGCTTGTCTCTGTCTGAGTTGAGTTGAATTGGGTTGGTCTCGTCTACTTTGAATAGCATATCTCTGCCAATGGAAGAGAGAGAGGCCGTCCATCTCTTGTTGATAATCAGGCCTTAACACCACCAACACCAAGGCTGCTCCCATTGACAACGAATACCGTCGTTAAAGATGGCATTCTCTCAATTGCACTGCGCTCCACAATTGCGGCCCTCCACCTCACGAATAGGGCAATGCCGCGCAGGACATGCGTCACTTCATGCTTCCACCAGCGCTGCCCCTCCAGCGTCCGGCATCTGCCGCCGCAGACGTCCAGGACTGCCCCGCGTTCAACGATTTTTTTCGTCTCTGCGGCCAGTCGAGCTCCGACATAGGCCAACGTGGTGAACGCTAGCGCTGCTGCACCGCGGCACACTAACCAGCCAGACGGCCCAGCCCACACAAAATTTCCGCGTCGTCTGGCTTCAGTGCCTCCGTTTTGACTCACCGCAGAACCACCCCGCCGGACACCTTCCGCGACGAACGAGAGACGACGGAAAGAGAATACAAAGTCGCGCAGAGCCAGCCGGGCCATCTCATCTTCACCTCGACACCTTCGGCCCTGGCCAATTGACTCGGCAATCGCTCCAACTTAACCTTCCCAACCCCGCCGTCCCTTGTGCAACCCGGCTGCCGTTCTCGCTGCTGCAGAAATCTTGTCGCATCATTGGATTTGCTACGACGCTGTGCTCCATCCCTGCGCGCCCGACGTTCTCGCCCAATCCACGAGCCCATAACGACATCGAGGGCAAACATACCCCCACGTTCTCCACGGCATTGTAGAGCGTATACATACCTAGCCCGTCATGGATCTGGTCAACCAGTTGGTCTTACCCCTCCCCAAGCCAAGAGCATCATGGCCCAGTTCAAGGAGAAGCTGATCGCGAAGGAAAGCCTAGAGGGTCGCCTGTTGTTCGCCGTGCCCAAGAGTGAGTCAACCGCGTCTGCCGTGGGTCTATGCGCTGACAATGCCATCCGCAGAGGGCCGCCTCAACTCGGCCACCCTGGACTTGCTTGAGGGAGCCGACATCAAATTCCGCCGCGAGAGCCGTCTCGACATTGCCCTCGTCAAGAACCTCCCCATCGCCCTCATCTTCCTGCCTGCCGCCGATATCCCGACCTTTGTTGGCGAGGGCCGCGTCGACCTCGGAATCACGGGCTGGGACCAGGTCAGGGAGCACGATGCCGGCATCATTGCCCACAACAAGTCGAGGAGAGCGTCCGTCGATCTCAACGATGGCGAGCTGAAGCCCACCGGTGGCTGCGAGATGGTCATGGAGCTCGGCTTCGGTGCCTGCAAGCTCCAGGTCCAGGTCCCCGAGAAGGGAGCCTACGCCACAACGCAAGACCTGGTCGGCAAGACCATCGGCACCAGCTTCGTCAACCTGGCCGAGGAGCACTTTGCCAAGCTCGAGCTGGGCGTCGACGCCGACGGCAACAGCAACACGTCGCCCAGGAAGCTGCGCACCAAGATCATTGAGCTCAGCGGAAGTGTCGAGGCCGCCTGCGCGCTGGGTGTCGCTGACGGCATCGTCGATCTTGTTGGTGAGTAGTTCCGTTTTGTCTGTGAGGCTGTCTGTGAGGACGGAGACTGACCGTATCCCAGAGTCTGGCGAGACCATGAGGGCCGCCGGCCTCAAGGCCATCGACACCGTCGTCGACTCGCAGTCCGTCCTGATCAAGTCCCGCAACCCCTCCAACGTCGAGCTCGTCGAGCTCATCGCCGCCCGCATCCGCGGTGTCATCACCGCTCAGAGGTTTGTCCTGTGCCAGTACAACATCGAGAGGTCACGCCTCGTCGAGGCAAAGCAGATCACCCCCGGCAAGCGTGCGCCGACCATCACGACGCTGGACGAGGAGGGCTGGGTTGCAGTCAGCTCCATGGTGGAGAAGAAGAAGATTGCTCTGGTGATGGACGACCTGACCCGCGTTGGCGCCCAGGACATTTTGGTGCTTGATATCCACAACACTCGATAGATCTGGAAACCATTTAGACGACGACCACGAGATACCTTTGTAATACACGTGAGGGCGGATCAGACATTTGTCTTGGAGAGCCATTTGTCTTGGAAAACAAGGGCGAGCTGTCAAAACGTAAAGTGAAGCTGTAGATGGTGAAACGCACGCTGATCACCGACGCAATTGTCGCAGTTGTGGCTGTGGACGATGATGTACCGCAGTCGAGCGCCGGCCGGTTGCTTGCGCCGCTAGCGTCGCGTTTCCGAGACTCTGCACCTCAGCCCTGTCGACGTGCAAGGCCCAACGCACTGAGCCCCTGGTCAACGGGGAAGCTGTGCGTTCACAGCTTGCGCGAATCGGCCCTCCATCGAAGCTTTACGTAGGCGTCGGGCAGCCCTGTGTCGTGTCGAGGTGCTGGTGTCGATTGGACCTCTCCTGCTGATCCCCAACACGCAAAGTGCGCCAAGTGGGTCCAACTCCGTCACTCCCGTGTCCCGGCCGCAGTGCACGCGCCAAACAGGGCGTATCGAAGGCGAACCCGACGGTAGAAGGATATGGGCTATTACCGTCAGGGAACTAACAGAAAAGAGGGTGAAGCGAAAGCGAACGAGCGGCGGGCGGGAAAGCGGGCGGTGACCAGGTGGCCGCGCCGAAGGTCCCGCCCGGACTGGCTTTGATCGACTGTAAGCTCCAAAATATTTAACTGTATTCCTGTCTCCGCACGCCGTCGTCCCGTCGTCACCGACATCTTTTGCTTTCCCTCCCGACTCTCAGGCATCACGAACTTTGGGGCTGCCGTGGACAAGCTATTGCGGTTCATCGGAAGCAGCTCGCATTGAGAGCTTAATATCGTCGACATGCGAAGGAATCAGTCTGCGGAAAGTGTGTCGAGTACCCGGTCCAGTAGTGGGATTATGTCGTCATCAGCAACAGCCACGAAACTCACTGCCACGAGGAGCGGCAGCGATGCCGGCACCATGCAGCAGTCGACCATCTACAAGGTTTGTCCCAACTTGACGATCCATAAGAGTTGGAAACTGACACTCTCGCAGGGTATCATGACACCCATCATCTTCGTCTCGTTTCTCCTCTCCCTTGTGTGGGTCGACTTGAAGTACACACTAAAGAGATCCCGGGATCGCGGCCACCACCACGGCGGCGGCTGGATGCCCAGCTGGCTACACAGCATCGTGTATCGTCACTCACCGTACACGTACATGCAGAAGGAATCCACGACACCGAGTCCCAGCCCCAGGTCGAGTCCCCGGGAGGAGCCGGGCGAGTTCTACTACCACAGCAAGCAGAAGAAGCTGATGCGCATGGAGATGGACGACGCGTTCGAGGTCCGAGGGCAGGTGCTCGTGGTCGTGGGAGCGGCTTCTCTGGCGACGCTCTGGGGTTTCTGGGTCTTGTCGAGCTGGGTCTGGAGGAGCATGTCACTACGGGGTCTTGTCTTTTGATGCGAATGAAGAAGATTCTTTCGAAATGCGTCGTTCCGTGCCTTGTTTGCTTGTCGGGATGATGACGACAATTTCAGACGAACGGTTTTCTGCACGGCCCCAGGGGTTTGCCCGCGCTTTGATCCACCGATACCGCGAGCGTCTGACTCGTTTTGATGCGACGGCCAGGTTGTCGACTGATGGGTCATGATGGTGCTGCTGGATAGGCAAAGGGCTGCCAGAGACGCTGACGAAGTGCTTGTTGGGCACTTGGCTTGGTTGGAAGGATGAGATCAAAGGAACCAAGATACCAAATTTACAAACAAAGGCTGAGCCCACGAATCTAATGGAAGAGTCCCTGATGTCAATCGCACTCATTGTTTCCAGCCGTTTTTCGACAGCTATTGAAGAATGTTTGATGCGTCTTCCCTGCACCGCGAAACAATCCACCAGGACCCTGAAAATTAACCGCCTACCTTGGAAAAGGGCTCGAGCAAATAATTCACTCGTTCTTCCATTTCCATGTAGTCAGACGTATTGCATGCCTCTGCCGTTTACCGCACCGGATCGTTACATCCGATCGCCTCAAGTGCCGTAGGAGCGGGGCAGATCGCGGGGGTGAGCTTCAGCGCCGGGTCTCAGCACCCAGCAAGCTGGTCAGGGGCCGTAGCTCCCACAACCACCACCCGCCCCCCACGCACGCGTCGAGCTCATCTCCTTTCTTTTTTTGGCTTTCCACGCAAATTCACCAACGCGCGCCTCACATCAGATGTTGTAAACCACTCCAACTCAATGTGCCAGTCTCATACAAACGCCGGATGAAATAAAAATGACAGAGCCTGAGCGCAGCACGAGGCCCGGCGTCCTGCACGGGACCTCGGCGCCGTTGGACAACGCGCTGCGAACCGAACTGTACGCCGCCATTGAGGCCATTTACGCGGCGGGTGGGTCCGACACGTCCAGCGTGCCCAAGCCCGCCGCCAACGACAACCGTCAAGATGAACCTGATGCCGACTCCAAACGGCTTTCCGAGGTTCTCAAGTTCTGGAGCTCGAGGATCGAGGCGCGCAACCTGCTGCACCAGCGGGCCTTCTACCACCTTCACCCGCCCGCGAACATCCGGGACTTTGAGAGCTGGGTCTTGGCCCGGGACATGTGCGCCGCGGATGCCGCTCTTGTCGCCCGACTGCGCTGCGAGTGCCCCAAGGCCGGCTTCGAGGTTCTCCCCGTGGTCCTGGAATACACCGGGACTGCCTGCCAGTACAACGCGTGGGTGTCCAAGGAGCAGTCCATCGGCCGTGCCTCGGAACCTCAAATCGGAGAGGACGGGTTCTGGAAGACGTACCAGCACGTACGCCACACGCCGCACGTCTACCAGTTCAGGGGGTTCTCGGGAGCGAACCTTGGGGAGGAAATTGACTGCAAGGAAGGCAATGTCCTCGACGAGAGGAACATTGCATGGGAGCGTGCCCGCCGCGGGCTGTTCTTCTGGCAAGGGCCCCAGGAGCAGAGGTATTTCGATGAAGAGCGCCAGGCTCGCGAGAACAACCCCAAGTGGTATCAGAAGATCGTCCCCGGGACGACTGCCGACCTCGGCAAGTATTTTGCACCTGTAAGTCTGACCCCTCCATGTGACGCGACATATGCTCACCAGCCGCAGGCCATCATGATCGTGCCCACGAGCACGCAACTGGATCTTGTTGATTTCGCGGAAAACCCGCAGCCCTACGCCAACGTCTGGTGGCACTTACTCAAACAGTGCGAGGCCCCCGTGAAGCGACAGGAGCATTTCGAAGCCCTGGAGTCGCTGTGCGATTATGTGTTCCCAAAGGAGAGCGAAGCACCGGCGGAAACCCGAATCCTCGGCATGAGGGTTAGCAATCGAGAAGATTGGATCAAGGCGTTGGATCCCCTCATCATGGGCGACTTGATTGTGGTCTCCCTGGTTTTCCGGGCCCATTCACTCTTCGAGCGTCTCGCTGCTAATACGCCGGTACACCCCACAATCAACTACGACTTGTTGTGTCAGAATGCCGACAGGACGGGATATCCCGCGGCGAAAGCCCTCGGGGCGTACGTATTCCCTTGTTGTGAATGGAGACGCATCTGACACAGATACAGGTTGCGCCGCTTCTTTCTTAAGAACGCCCACTTCTTACAGGTTGCCGCCCCGATGAACAAGATGCCGGTAGACTTTCAGAATGTCGAGGCCACCAACGTCGCCAAGGAGCTGATCAACGAGGCCATGACCTTGCTGAAGTCTCCCGTAACGGCGAACCACGGCCGCGTTATCGCGGACTTTTTGAAGTTCTTTGAGAACTTCAACGACTGGCACAAAATGTGGGTGCTTCTCCCTTGTTGAGGAATGGAGACTGACCAAATACAGGGTCAACTCGGCCGTATGTGGATCTCCCGAGCTGCGGAAACAGGTACCCTTCATCTTGGGTCTGCTGAACAGGCTGCTCGATGTAGTAAAGCGAAACAACCTCCCTCTTGATCAGGTGAAGATGTTCTACAACGATTACAAAACGCGCATCATCAACGCTCCTCCAGGGTTGGTAAGCCAGCTCGTCAGCAACGTACTGAAAGACGACAGCACCGAGGCGCAAACCGCAAGACAGACGTGGTGCGAAGATGAGCCGTCGGCTGAGCTTCTCGAGGGTCAGAGCCAACCGCCCACGACAAGCTTTACCTTGCTCGCCGGCCTGTTCAAGGGTCTCGACCGGCTCGACATGACGTCTGAACTATCTCACCTTGTCATCTATATTGTTCACCATCAGGAAGAGATCAAGCCGATACACATGGCTCCGCTGTGGCTGCCATGTCTCAAAAGTCTTCACGATCTCGTGGATCCGAGTCCTGCATTCCAGAAGCTCTTCCAGGCTATTTTCGGTCTGTACCACAAGATGGTGTTTGATGACGCTTCCCTCCAGTTCGAGGACGCCCCGTCATCCATTACGCCACTGCGGCCCTGCTGCGCCGACTGCAAATACCTCGACGCCTACTTTGAACAGCCCAACTGGAAGAAGTTTCATCTGGTAAAGCCAAAGAAAGTGATTGAGCATATCCAGGAGCAGCTCCGCCAGCAGAGGAAGCCCATCGAGACGACAATCTTTGGCAAAAACGAAATGTCCATTACGATGCAGCTGAACAAGGTCTCCCTGGTGAACAAGGAGCTTGGCAAGATTGAAGCGTTGCGCAGACAGGAGGCGTCCAGAACCGTGCGGCAGTTTGAACCATCGAGGTTGCTGCCCTTCCTCGGCGACAAGGGGGACATCATGTGGAAACTGGGCGATGCTGATTCCGCGGATCCCGTCCAGCGCACACCAGCGAGGCCATCACTTACGTCCGCCAGCGGATCCGGGCTTTCTCGGACCAGCTCGTCGTCTTCTGCGGATACTTCCGTCTCCACGGCGACCCCTAGCAGGAGCGTTCGAGAGACGGTCGTCAAGAGAGAGCCAGGGGCAAGTGCTAGAACCACGGTCGGTGGCCTGGTCACACCAAAGACTGAACCGCGCAACGAGCTCGCGCGCGTCAAGACTGAGCACACACCCTCGGGCTCTTCGCACCACGGCCAATCCAAAAGCATCCGCGATATGTTCGCGTCGGTCAAGAAGGAGAAGACGCCGGGAAGCGCCCAGGCCAAGAGCGGGCTGTCTACGAGGGATCGTCTCAAGAACCTCCAACCGCCCCGACGAGAGCAGTCCACGCCCAAGTTTAACGACTACTCGAAACCGCCGATGGGCTCCCTTGATAATGCGGTAGCGAGCAGCAGCTCCAAAGCGCCCGAGCCCATCGTCAAACGGGACCCGCTCGCATCGTTTGGCGGCGGCGGAACGCGGAATAGGGAGCCGGTGCGCAACGGAATCCGGAAGAGGGCCGGGCTAACGCATGACACCAAGACAGCACCACTGTTGAAGACGGTCGGCAGTTTTGCAAGCAGACACAACGCCACCCCAGGCCCGTCAACGACCCCACCCCTGAACAGCACGCCCGGGTCGTCAGCATCCGCGTCGCGGGCGCCGGATTTCATGTCAGCGGTCCTGGACGCTGAAAAAGCCCGCAAGAAGCGGTCTTCAAAATCGACGTGGGAGGTGAAGACGGCCGCCGGAAACGTGGTGAGCGCGGGAACGTCCTCGGCCATGGCCAAGTCGCGGTTCGACGGCCTTGCTAAGGACAAGGAGAACACGACGCGCCGTACACATTTTGGCACGTCAGCAGCCGGTCGGACCGCGAACGTGTTGTCGGCGCGCTCGCCCAACATTGGCGGCTCTTCGGCCTCGACAGCGAGCAAGAGAAAGGCGGACGACGATCTCATCGACCTCTGCGGCACCAGCAGCCCCGAGCGCGCTAGCAAGCGCAAGAAGAGCGCTGCTACTTTTGACCCTTTTGAAGACGACGACCCCTTTGCGGATATGTAGATGGTGTTTGAGTATGCGCACGGACGATATTGGCAGGCGCATTGTGTTTGAGGTTACTAGAGTTGGTTTGCTGTCTGGATTAGCGGCTGGAAGTTGGCAAAGGCGTTTGGTGGCACGCGTGTTGAATCAGGAGCTGTAGGATCGATACCCCAAGACCAGGATTGCATTTAAGAATCAATGGATGCCATTCTTATTGCTATGATTAACCTATTTTGTGTACTCCCGTGCCCTAGAATCGACCATACGCACGAGGACGTTTACATCACGTACAGAATATCCGTGTCTGAGGGGGTTAGCCAAAGCAGCCTCGACACACGCGGGACAGCTTACCAATGGGGTGACTGCTGGAGAGCTGGGGCAGCTGCGTGTACTTCTCCTCGAGCACGTCACGGATGCTGTTGAGGAGCTGGACGTAGCTCTGCTGGGGGTTCGCCTTGAGGGCAGAGATGAAGGCGTAGGACATGGCGCCGGTGGCCTGGTTCGCGATGTTGGCGTCGGCGCTGCTGAGGTTAATTATCTCCAAAATCACACAGCACTGGAAGCACTCACGAAGTCTGGCTGTCCTTGCTGCCGGACCACATGATGACGTCGGCAGGCGACGTGCGGGTCTCCTTGGTGCGCTCGTAGGCGTCGTCGCCGGCGATGGCGCGCTTGCCGAAGCTGAAGATGGAACTCGCGACACCGCCGAGGTCGCCGGCCGTGTACGCCTGGAAGGCGCTGAGCAGACCCTGGCCCGCCTCCTTGGCCAGGTTGGGCTCCTTGAGGACGCCCTTGGTGGAGTAGATGTACGGCAGGTCGAGCGCGGATCCGGAGTGGCACGAGTCGAAGATGGCCGTCAGCCGCACACCGGGCTGCAGGGGCTTGACCATGATGTGGTGCATCTCGTCGTCGACAATGTGGCCGGCCTCCTTAAAGTCGACCGGGTAGATGACCTCGTCGTAGCCGTCGTCCTCGTCGCCGTCAATGTCCTCGGTCTGGCCGCCGTGGCCCGAGTAGTGGAAGAAGAGCGAGTCGTTGGGCTGGGCGCCCTGGACGAGCCAGTGCATCGCGCGGAGGATGTTCTGCTTGGTGGGCTGGCCCATGGGCTCGCGCTGGTCGTCGGTGAGGACGACCATGTCCTCGCGCTTGTAGCCGTAGCGCTCGACGAGGAAGGCGGAGACGTTCTTGACGTCGTTGATGCAGCCGCGGAGCTCGCCGTCCTGGCCAAAGTAGTTGATGCCGATGAGCAGGGCTTTCCTCTTGCCCTGGCAGGTGGAGTACTGGAAGCCGTAGCCCTCGGGGGCGCCGTGGCCGAACTGCTGCACGCCGGTGGGAGGGGGAGGGGGCGCGCCTCTGTTGCCGTGCGCCCAGTCGTTGGAGTTGACGGTGGGCATGTCTGCGGCGTGTTAGCTCGGCCCGGCATGATAGCTCAGGGTCAACTTACGGGGCCTTCCTTGGTCACCATGGGAGTTCACGGGGTAGCCGTAGACATCCAAGCCTGGAGGGGGAGGGTGAGAAGGGGGGGCGTACCTGCCCATGTAGCTGCTGCCGGGGTTTGGGTTGGGAGGCTGCTCGTGATAGTTGCCGTAGCCCTGCGGGGGGCCGGGAGGAGGACGGTCGTAACCTCCGCCGTAGCCGCCGTGGTGACTGCCGTGGTGAGAAGGGGGCGGGCCCGAGGGAGGCTGGTAGCCGCCGCCGCCGCCTCCGTAGCCTCCACCGTAGCCTCCGTCATGGCCGCCGCCGCCGTGGCCGTACTGTCCAGGGTAGCCCGACATGTCTGCTTTGTGATGGTGCTTGATGACAGGCTGTTGCTTTGTTTACTGTGGAGGTTGCTGCTTTACAGGTCCCTGGAATGATGTGAGTGGCTGGTCCCGGAAAGGTGGGGGAGGGGTGAAAACCCGCCTGGGTGAGTAGAAGCTGCTGTTGCTCTGGAAGCCCCGAGGTTCAAGACGGAAGACGGCTTCTGCAATGTGATCTGGAGATGCGCAAGACCCGGGAGCGACACCAAAGACCAAGTGTCGTTAATAACGGAGTGTTCAAGAGGTTGGACGTCCGGGAGGTGAGAGAGCTGAGCTGAGGTGAGGGGCGCCGTCAGCTGGCCGCGAGAGGAACCGCCGGGTACCTGAGGGCGGTAGCTACAGGCGCTTGGGACTTACGCTGGTTTGGAGGGGCTGCGGCTTCAGAGGCAGCCCAGGATGAGACGTCTTTGATGCTGGAGTGGTGGGGTTTGAAGGGGGAGAAGGGGAAGGAGGGGCGGCAGCGGAATGCTCGGTTCCAGTTGCACCAGACGGGCCATGTTTGTGCAGTGCTTCATCGTTTCGATACGAAGCTCCCGTTTTTGCACAGTGACATTTCTGCAAGAGAGAGACGTCCATATCCATCCCGCGTATTGTCTACAGCCTCAGGGAAGCCGTCACCGTTCGGTTCTGGGCCTTGTGGACAGCGCAGCAGACTCCAGCTTCACTTGATAAATAACGCAAAGGGGGCCGGAGCCTCACGCGGTCAAGTTGGGCTAACATGCCTCTTCCATACAAGCAGCTGCAGATCATCGAGCAGGAAGAGGTACTTGCTGCTCAAGTACCAAAGGACATGCGAGCTTAACTTGGGTATCAAACACAGCGCGGGCTCCTCCAAACGCCCGCAACCCGGACCATCAGAGGCAACATCAACATGGATAGGGCCGCAGGGCCCTGTTCGTGGCCTGCCAAGCCCGAACGGTTGTCAGTTCTGTCTCCCGCAGCAGGGCTCCCGGAGGAAAAAGAAGGGACGAAAATGCCCAGCCCGCAGTGCAGGAGCGGGAGGCGGGAATCCCTCCCATCGTGTCTGCCCGCCGTCGACCAGTGGAATAGCGATAGCGAACCGTTTGGCAGACCGACAGCGTTCAGGGCTGGATGGCGAGATGAGGTGGTCGCCTCGACTGGCGCCATGTGGATGCGGCCGCGTACGCTTGCAGGTCCGCGGGCGGAATCTGGCTCTGCCGCCAAGACCCTCATCCTTCAGTCCCCAAAGGTGAGCACGCGCTAAGCCCAGGAAGAGAGCCGTAGGGCCGCCTGGCGTCATACCATCGCTCACATGCTGGCGGTGATCCGTCAGAAGCGGGCTGGGTTGGGCAGAGTGAGGGGAAGTCTGGAGGAGGGACACTTCATAAGAAGAGAGACCGACGACGACCAGACTGCAGGGACCACTGCCCATCAGGAAAATTGCGTGGCTGATTGATTCTTGACTCTTGCGACGGCGTTGCAGTGCTGCACCATTACTGGCCTCCCCAGCCAGGCTCTCTGCTAGCGGGACAAATTCACAAACAAGGCACACTTTACACAGCTGGACAAGCATTTGGCTTGGGCTGGGCTGGAGCTCTAGTCGAGCTGGGGCGCGGCCATCGGCAGCACAAGGCAAACGACAAGGTCTAGCTAGTGGTGGCTCGTAAAACTAGGCACGTAGTGGTAGTGAATCCAATCAGTCAATCAGGCTGAGGCAAGCCGAGGGGTCCTCACCTCATGTTTTCCTCCCTTTCCCCTCCAATCTTGCAATCCATCCCCTTCCCAGCGTCAACAACAAACACTTGACGATCCCAGCGACCGCGATACAGCTCGAACCGGACGAACGATCCCATAACCCGACACTGCTCACGCCCGAATCAATCGCTCCGACGCTCTTTTCACGCCCGCAGAACTCACCAAATTAAAAATGGTGCGTCGCTACTTGCCCCTCCTTTCGCACCGCCAGCTTCAGATAGAGCTGCTGCTGTGTTTCCGATACCCACGAGATTGACGGCCTCTAACCCGTCATCTTCATGCAGGCGCGCCACAACCTTACCGAGGAGCAAGTCAAGGACTACAAGGCAGTCTTTTCCGTATGGGTATGTCCACGAACCCCCAACCCTGCCCCGAGCCACGGCGATCGCATTACAGAGACCCTGGTTTCTTGGGACGAACATCAGTCTAGTGCTAACGTGCCCCCGATGGACAGGACCGCGATAACACCGGTTAGTCCCAACACGCACCTCCCTCGACAATACACACACTGACACGGCCTTGTGACCAGGCGGCATCGATGCCGAGGAGTTTCGCATCGCCATGAAGTCCCTGGGCCTCAACCCCAGCATCGAAGAGGTCAAGGAGCTCATGAGGGAAGTCGACCCCAAGGGCAAGGGCGACATCAGCCTCGACGGTAAGGCCCGATGTCACGTACGAACGAACTGGCGATTGACGGCTGCTAGAATTCCTCGACCTGATGAGCGAGGCCCCCGCGACGTCGAGCAAGGCCGCGGACCCCAACAGAGAGCTCACCGCCGCCTTCAAGGTGTTCGACAAGGACAACAGCGGCTCCGTCTCGCCGTCAGAGCTGCGCCAGGTGCTGCTCTCTCTCGGCCAGCGCGCCACCGACGAGGAGATTGAGGAGATGATCAGGCACGCCGATCTGGACGGCAACGGTTCCATTGACTGTAAGCTTCATCCCCAGCGGTCGACTCGGGTTGCGCTGCAACGCTGCACGACCGCGCTTCAGCAGCAGCAGCAGCAGCAGCATGCAAAATTGCCCTGCGCTACTGCTGCTCTCCGCTGCTCTGCCGACGGCCGCATCTCGCTATTCCCCTCCCCGCCCCCACCCAAATTTCCTAGACTAAATTTAGCACACCCTTCGGAGGATTGCGGCTGACGTGCAATTCGCGAAATGAACAGACCAGGAATTCGTCCAGCTCATGGCCCCGAAGGACACCAAGGCGTAGGCGATGCGGCGACGAGGCTATTTGGGAATGTTTTCTAGTTTTGGCACATCTATCGACGACGGGAGGGGAGGAAAAAGAAGTCACTGCTGCCTTGATACCCTTTCTCCAAAGGTACAGTGAGGTATTCAGGTGGTTTGACGCGGCGAAACACTTGGCACAACACGCATCACAGCAAACACACTCAGACACTTATTATGCATCACAGCTATGCTTACACAATCTCCAAGGCACCAGATCCTTGATGGACTACTAATTGTATTATCTGCTCTCGAGTGTTGGCACCCGTGAGCTTGCTACGAAAGTACTCGTCCAGAAATCGACAAGGGGAAATATGCGAAACGCAATCGCCAATGTGGGTAATCGTAAGACAAAAAAATGATAATGTGCATCCGAATGCCGTGGGTCGCCGTCCGTCACACTTGACGCACGATGCCTGGGCTTTCCGGGAGAATGAGTGCGGTTCGAAGAAACATCGAATTCATCGTCTGGTCTGTCCGAGGGCTAAAGAAGCTATGCGGGTTCCTTTGGCGATCCGTCCATATACCATCCGTCCATCCGTTTCCGAACCAAAGAGTAGCAAGGCCGTGGTCGCGTTCGGGGGGAATCTCTTGTTGTCGCACTCGTGCATCGGTATTATGCGCGTTGATTAGAAGCAGCAGGTCAGGCACTCCAGGCAGCACTCGCAGGTCTCTCCGCAGAGCCAGCAGCAGCAGAGAGTGGCGATGCTGTTGAGACAGTGTCAGTCACCGTTGTGCGACCGCACATAAGGGGGTTTGCTTACCAGCCGTAGAGACAGCCCTTGTCATCCTTCTTCTCCTCCTGGGGAGGGGGAGCCTGGCCCTGGGGAGGGTAGTACATCTGGAGATGGTGTGAGCAGGCCTTCGTCTTCGTGAAAGCGATGTGAACTTACGGGCTGCTGGCCGGGAGGAGGGCCGTAGCCAGGCTGGCCGGGAGGGGGAGGAGAGCCGTAGTAGGGCCTGGCAGGCGCGTGTCAGTTTGCGACTTGATCAGAAGGCGGGCGACGCGAGACTTACTGCTGACCGGGAGGAGGGTATCCAGACATGATGACGGTTGTTTGTGGTGATTAGTGGTGTGAAGTTGGTGATGTTGTGATGAAGGTCGCAAGAGTGCGAGGGTATCTGTTTTAGGGAAAAATAAGGCGGTCGCGAAGGGAAAGGTGGGTAAGGTAAGGCAAACGGAAAGAACGAGCAAGACGGAGAGAGAGATGAAGGATGCAGGGGAAAAGGAGGACGGACGGGATGGGAGGGCAGCAAGGAAATAGGTCGGCCGGTCAGTCAGTCACAACGTGAGAAAAGTTGCTTATTAGTGTACGGATACCCGTTACGGTGCGGCCGAGGTGAATGGTCCCCAGTCCCCGTTTCCGCGCCTTCCACGCCGAGCCTTTGGCGGCAGCGCTGCGGCGAGTCGCTCTGCCGTATCCTTACACGCGTTCGGTAAATCATACCGTACGCGTTCAAAGACTGGTCTCTGTCCAAGGCTACGCCTCACACAAATCTGGGCCGTCGAGGTGGCTCAAGGGTCTTTGCGCATCTAAGGGGTCCCTCGGGGCCGCGGGTCTGCAGTAGGAACGCCGAATAGGGAACCAATGGTCATGCCAGACGACGAGGATCGCTGGCAGAGCCGAGAGGAAATGGAACGGGGGCCGGCCGGGATACCGGGCTCGCACGGCAGACAGAACCCCTTGGGGAGTGCATAACAAGGAGCGTCTGTGTAAGTTTCCTTGGCGTACTATACAGACTGTATGCAGCGTCGCATTTCACAATCGTAGCCCCGTGGCGCATCTCTGTTCATTGTGCTGCTGCGGCAAAAGATGCTGTGCGCTTGGGATAAGGTCGACATGGGCAGCAAACGGTCATACCGATCCCATCCCATGCCATGTGGTCTTTTGCGGTGTTGCTTGGCTTTTCTTCAAGACGCCGCGGCGGTGGATATGTCGGCATCCAAGAGCCCATCTTTTTGCTCTTGGCGGAGTTACGCGTCCACTCCAAAAGCGTTAGATTATCTGCAGCTCCTCAGCTCGGCATGCTTCTGGCAGCAAATGGGCGGTCGTCAACGAGTCTTGAGACCCGTTGCCCAGCCCGTTGGAGGCTTTTTGGGGGTCTCTGAGACCCCTGGAGCGGCGCCCCTCGCTCGTGGCTTCATTGGCCCTGGACGACGATGCAGAGGCGGCTGCTCAGAGTCTCAGTCGACGACCAGCCACGATCGGGCGTGTGCTGTATTTATCTCTCATCATCGCCGCAACCCAACTGCAGACGTACAACGCACCAGACATCTGACCCTTTCTTCTTCCTCCTCTGTCCGTCTCCCGCTGCGCCCTCACGCCAGTCATCGGTCATTGTCAGTAGGCCGGGTCACCCCCACTCATTTGGCTCGGCGCTGTGAATGAAGGACGGCGCGCGCTGCATGGAACCACTGGTGAGCGCAGATGGCCATCGACGAGCAGACGTACGGATAAGGTAGACAGAGTCAGCCACCGCCGCGGACCGCGGGCCACGGACGGTGAGTTTTCTTCAGAGAGTCATATTTTTCCCCGTTGCGGTTAGCTCCCCAATTCGCAGTGAATTAGCACGCCTCCACAGGTAATAAGGTAGAAACTCAATTAATAGGCAGTTTGGTGGGTAAGGCGAGCACAAATCTGCAGACTAGGCCGCTCTTGGCACGCTCGCCATGTTTAAACCGGCCGGGTGGGAAGGCAGCGGACAGGGCGGAGCGCCGGTGCGGCTACGGCTTGCAGGGAACCAGCTGAAGCACGTCTCATGTTTGTCCTTTTTTGAGAGCCGGTTGCCAGGCTCGAACCGCAACTGACACGGCACACCCAAACCTTGACTGCTCAGGAGTCAGGCCTCTGTTGCTGTTGTTTGGTGTTTTGCGGGCGGGCAGCCCAAAGGAGCTCCCCGGGTCTGAATTCTGAAATCGATGCACCTGTCCCCGTCGTTTGGACCCTGTGGACCCCTGCCGGTGCCTGCCCTACCAGACCGGGAAGCCAGAGCTGCCAATCAGTCGACGTTCCAACGTTCCTGCCTTACTTTCTGCGGTTCACCTGTCCCGGGCACTACGGCCACTAGCGCAGAGACGCCGCCTGGCTCCCCGCCCGAACATTCACCGTAGGTATCGTACACGATACGGCAAGGGCAGCTAAAGACTTGTAGCTGGTTGACCTCACTGGTTATTTCTGTATAAGGTACGGAACCCAAGGCAGCCGGGTAAAGGCACGTTGGGCTGCACCTGTTGCCACTGGTAGTCCAAGAAAAGAAACTCTAGCTAGGCATGAATCATCAGCAAAAAAAGACTCTGGTGATGTGCATGCGCGTTTAATAGACCTCACCTACCTGAGGCAGGCACCCCAGCTTCACGACCGCCCGTGCCTCGTGCCTTCCCGTCTGGTAAGGTACCCAGACCCCGGACCATACACAAATCGTCTGTACCTCATCCCATCTCACCTCTGACCTCTGAGGTGTCTCCCACACACAGCCTGACGCACCTGTCCCGAGCCGCCTGTGAGGTGCTTTCCTTCTTCACAAGCTGCCCGTCGTCCACTGCACTGCGTGACTGCGGTGCCCGCCTCGCTAGCCATCGCTCCGGCCCCCGGGAGGGAACCCATCGTGCTCCTCCACACATCTGCGAGGCATCCACCTGGCCCTCCACGCCCGCCGCAGTACAAAGAGGCCAAGATTTTTGACGAACATCGCGTGGACCAACGAGCTGTCAACGCATCACAGGTAACCGCCCGCTCCCCTCTTGCCCTTGACGTGTTTCCGACAGATCTCCTCTTCTCTGCTTCACCGCCCATAAAAACTGCAGAAAACCTGAGGCTTACGCAGCGACAGCTACCCCTCGATCTTTCTCGGCCTCTGCCGCCTCATCCGTCCTTCACCACTCACAACTTCCCGTATCCCCATTACTTAACCGAACCGAAGAAAGGAACCATGTCTTTCTTCAAGAAGCTCACCAAGGAGTTCGAGGAGCTCAAGACCTCCTTCTCCGACGACAAGCCCGCCGCCCAGCAGCAACAGCAGCAGCAGCAGCAACCTCCCCAAGAGCAGACTGGTAAGTCGCACTCGTGTCACCCAGCCCTTCCCGCCTTCCCTGCAAGAGGGACATTTCAACATCTCCTAAGCCGTCCTATTTCTTGTCCTCCTCTCGTCCTCCTCGCTACCATTGACATTCACTACCTGCTCGTCACCTACAAAACCCCCCGTTTGATGTCAGCGAGATCCCATCGATCTGTCATCGTCGTCTCGATAAGGTTACTGACTCGTGCTTCTTTGACCAGGCTCCCGCAGCTACGGTGATCACCCGCAGCAGCAGCAATACGGCGCTCCTCCCTCCAACTACCCTTACCCCTCGCAGGCACAGCCTCAACCCGGTTACGGCAGCCAGCCCAGTTACGGCCAACCCACCCCTCCGGCTGCCCAGTCCGCGCCCCCGATGGCCGCTCCTTCCGTCTCCCAGGGCTGGCTCTGCCAGTGGGACTCCAAGTGAGCCGCATCCCGAAGACCCCATTTCCCGGGCGTTGCCGCTGACCTCCTTGCAGCTACCAGAGATGGTTCTACGTTGACCAGAGCTCCGGTCGCTCCCAGTGGGAGCACCCGTCTCCCCCCACCGGCCCGGTCGGCACCCCCAGCTACGGCGCCCCCCCTCCCGTCCCCCTCTCCGACACTAGAGCTTTCGGAGACCAGGGCCACGGCGGCTACGGCTCCCCCGCACCTCCCCAGCAGTACGGCGGCGCCCCCTACGGCGGAGCTCCCGGCTACGGCCAGCAGCCTCAGTACGGCCAGCCTCAGTACGGTCAACCCCAGTACGGCGGCGCTCCTTATGACCAGTCTCATGGTCAGAACCCGTACGGCGAGACCAAGGACAAGGAGAAGAAGAGCAGCAGCAGCGGCATGCTACTCGGTGCTGCCGGCGGTCTCGCCGTCGGTGCTGTTGGTGGCGCGTTGATCGCTAATGCCCTTGGTGAGTTGCCTTCATGCCTGTCACTTGAATCCGTGCTAACAAATCACAGACGACTCCGACGATGAGCACAAGGCCGCCGCTCAACAGCAGCAGCAGCAGCAGTACGGTGGCTACCAGGACAACTCTTACAACGACGCTCCCCCCGCCGTCCTGCCTCCCACCGACAACGACGGCGACTCCATCTCCTCCAGCGACCGTGAGGACGTCCAGGAGGCCCGCGAGGAGTACGAGGAGGCTCTCGCCGCCGCCCACGACTCTGACGCCAGCAGCAGCGACCACGAGCGCCTCGAGGAGGCCAGAGAGGAATACGAGGAGACGTACGAGGAGGTGTACGAGGACTAAACCAAAACTTTTGCTCTGGCTTTGAGTGGGTTTACGCAGTCGGAGGACGAGTGGACTGCGGTTTGCTATGACGACATGACGACGAATGACAGCTCAGCATTGCGTGGCAGTTAAGATGGCATCAAAGAACAAGAGGCATGGGGGATATCGGGACGGTCTTTACCTTTTTTGCTCCATAGCCCTCGGAATTTCAGATGCAAGGACGCGTTTTAGGTCCTGCTAGTTTACCAGTATCGATGGGTTTCGATCGCGTGAGACAATCGGCGGCTGCTGAGGCCGTACGTGATGGTGGTAAAGACGCTGTCTCGCATCTGCCTCGGTGACAGCGGGAAGGGGGTGGTACAAGATGCACGGCAATCCAATCCCAATCATTCCCGTCGTTGCGAGGAGAATGACAATTAGTAGGCAGACGAGAACGACGGGGCACCATCACAGGGAGAGGACCTCGGCGCAGAGTAATTGGAATCGGTGTTCCAGCTTCTCGTAACCATGTCTCGGCCATCCCTTGGATCGTCGACCAGGAAGGGCTCCAGGCTGCATCTCAGACAGCGGCTGCGCTGCGCTGCTGCTGCTGCTTCTGCTTGCTTCTGCTTGCTTCTTCCAGCGCTGCGCGCCCATGTAAAGAGCAACACGATCGTACATTACATGATGTGCGGCTTTATTTTATTCCTCCGACGGATCGCCTTCACACAGAGACACGATGCTAACCCCTTTCGAGGCAATCGTCGCATGTGCCCCATACCAAGAAAGGGAAGGGCAGAAACAGAGCCATCTCAAAAGCAAAACCTCACGATCTTACGTCCGTTCGGCCACGGAGACTGCTTGCCGAGGCTGAGCCCTTTTCGCCGGTCTGTTGGATGGAAATTGACGAGACATATGGTCCAAGACAGCGAGAGGGACGATGTTGGGTTCACTTACACCTGAGTGGACGGACGGCAACAGGGTGTCTGCCGGCTCGGCTCTCAGCGATCGCCCCTCTAACCCACCCACACTCTCAGCGATGGGCACCAGGTCCAGCCCGGTAGGTTCGGCGACCTCAGGCGAAGCCTCGCCCTCGCCTCAGGCACCCGGCGATAGTGATAGGCGGCCCTACCCCGTTCAGCTCCCCCAGAGAGTTCGTGGTGGTGGTGTGCCCCGTTTCGACAAACCAATCCCCCATCCATTAGGGAGTGTTTCAGCGCGCACCACCACTATCGGGTCCCCCAGCCATCCCTTGCTTCCCGTGGTTTGTGCTTTCGCAGGCGGGTTTACAGCGTAGAGAGGCGGACTGTTGGGGTTTCCCTGTGAGCCGATTCGTGAGCCGAATACAGTGCAAGTCTACTAGCAAACCCGTCCGTTTGTTCATCTGAAAAGTGTGAAGCTGCTAGTACACTTTGCGATCGTGAGGCTGGTCGTGGCCAGACAGAGCCTCAATCGCACAAAAAACAAGAGGCTGGAAAAGCTGGGGTGGCCAGGAACGGCGGTGGGGGGAGGCCAGGGCAGCGTTTACTCGTCGACCATCGTCGCCCTCCCTCCCAAATCCGGCTGGCCGCCGCAAGTCCGTGCTTGGGAACCCGCCGCCCATCGTGGAATGGTTCTCCCCGATAGTGTGCTGTGCAGGCCGCCCCCTCCCCCATGCTGCAAGTCAGAATGGATCCCCCATCTCACATCGGGAAAACCCAGCCATCCCACATGTCGAGGTGGCTGGGGCTGAATATCGATGCCAGTGGTCCCTGGAGAACAGACGACGCGCCAGAAGCTCTGGCAGTCGCGTCTGGCGTGCGCTCCCGGATGGCTGGACGGCTGGGCCGTCGTCCGATGACAGTCCAAGCGGCCGGGCGCGCTACGGCGTCGTTGACAGCTGCGACAGCGGAAGTCAATACGTAGAGACCGCACAGGTTGCGCCGCACGTACAGCCGTTTGCCTGCGCAAGCGTCGCATATGCGTGTTTGGACGGCGATGCATGTTTAAGACGAGATTCAGGCTGTAAAGTGCGTCGAGGTACGATGTAAAGGTCACAATCAGTGAGTATTGTTTGTACGGTGATGTATTTGCTCTTTCAAGCTTCTGCCCTAGTAGACGTTGGATACGTCGCGCAAACAAAGAAACAACTCTAGAGCTAGTCGTAGCCCGAGATCAAACACGCGCGCCCGTTGGAAAAATGCCAGCCACATGCGGGGCTACCCAAGATTCTGGTTCTCTAGTCTGCCAGATGCGATATGGTACAGTTGACCCAATAATATGCTCAGACAAATGAAATCAAGAAACGAATGGACGGCGATGAGACTCATCGCCAGGTGCCGTGGAGCTTGGTTCGTCGGCTACTCCTGCGGCCCTTTAGGCCGACCTCGCCCTGGACCATCAGGCTCTTCCACCTCCGCGATAGACAGTTGCGGTCCTTTCCTAGACTGCGCGCGCAGTCCTGCCACTCTGACTTGCTGAGCTTGAGCTTCTCGAGCACGAGCTCCACGAGTATCCTGTCGTCCTCTGCGCTCCACGGCTCGCCGTCGGCCTCGACCTCGACGTTTGATCCTTCTGATGTGGGCTCTTCGCCGTTGAGGAGGTGTAGTGTGTGAAAGTCGGAGCGCTCGAGGCCGAGGGGCACGACCTCTGGCGCAATGCGCGCGCGCTTGGGCGTTGACGGCGCGGACGGGAGCTGTTCTTGTTGCGACGAGATCTCGAGATCGCTGTCGACGTCGGAGTCGGTCATGAAGGCGTCCTCGCGGCCCAGGTCGTCATCGGACGAGCGGCGGCGCTTGTTCACCCCGCGGGGTGGCGCGCGCTTGGCGATGCGCTTGCGCGGGAGGTGCTCGCTGTTGATGCCATCGGCCGCGGGCTTCGCGCGAGAGCGCAGGCGAAGCTTCAGAGGCGGCGGCGCATGGGCGAGGGGAGGAGTCGGGAGCTGGTGGTGCGATGGCGGCGATGGCTGCTGCGTCACGGTGTGGTTCTGGTGGTGCTGAGGAGTGGAGAGGAGGGCCTGGAGGGAGCGGCAGGTGTCGAAGATGTTGCCAAAGGGGCCCTGGTGAGAGAGCGACGGAGGGCTGGCGGGAGGCGAGGCGAACATTGCGGCTTGAAGGCGGGTGAGGGGCGGCTGCGACGTGTCGCAAGAGAGGGCGGATGGCATGAGCATCTTGGCGGTGGTATGCGCGCTTGGTTGCGATTCTCTGGTTTGTGGGCGTTGGAGGTCGGTGAGGGTTTGCGACAGGGCTGGTTGGCTCTGGTGCGCGACTTTGCGACGGAGGAAGGGCGAGCGAGGAATGGAATGCGCCGGGAGGTCGCGATGATATCAAGGGCGGGAGTATTGGATCGAGGGCTTGTAGAAGATGGTGAGGGTGTTGGAGGTATTTGTTTGCTAGCGGTTCAAAGGGATTCTTGGGAATGCGGGCGAGCAGTAGTAGTTGTGTGTGTGTGTGTGTGTGTCGGTGTGAGAGTTTCGGGAGGGAGGCGGTGGGTGAAGAAGGGAAGGTTGGCTGGGACGGACCTAGATAGCGGCAGAGTGGCAGGTGGCAGATGGGACGGCGGAGGATTATGGGGGGGGAGACTAATATGGATGGGAAAATGGTGTGTGCGGTGGGCGGTTGACACTGGACTGGGCATCTTTGGGTGCTGGACGGTGGGCCACCTGACAGGGTCCGTCCACTGGCTGGCGCAAACTGCATCCTGCACCTCGGGTGGGTTCACAGTGCCCAGAATTCCGGGAAACGCAACGGGGACGCGACCACTTCCACTGTCTGGAGCCCGCGGTACGTATCCTTTTGCCAGGGGAGGGTCCGAGCTTTGCACCGACCCTTCCGCCAGTTCTTTCTGGCTGTTTGCTCTCGTCTGCAAAGGAGTGGATGGGATCGGTACCTGACGAGGAGTGGATGATCATGGGAGTCTCCAAAACAGCCCGCAGTATCCATATCGATAGACGATAGCAAGAGGGGGTATGCCCCAGGTACACCAGACGGTGGGATGGCTGGCAGCACCGCGCGAACAGGTACGCAGCGTCGACCTCTTCCACACTGTCTCGATGGTGTCTCAATCCCCTTCTCGAGCCTGGGACGGCGTGTTTGCTTCTTCGCCTTCTCGTCCTCATCGCCCTCACCACCGTCCTGCAGTATTCCCCTTCTCGTCGGGCCTGCATCCTGTCCTCCGTCTGCAAGGGTCGTCTCGCCATTGCTAGAGACCAATACCACCCCTTCGTTCGTCTGCCCACGGCCGTGCCCTCTCGCAGCGTCTCCCTGCTTCTTCCACCTCTCTTTCTCTGTCTCTCCTCCCGTTCATGCAAGGCGGCTCTTTTGAACGGGCCTCATCTTTCTTGTCTCTCCTTCATCTCGCGCGCCCTTTTCCAATTACACCTTTGAACTATCGCCTATAATCCCATCTCCCTCAACTCCGGCCGAAAAGAGCTGCAAGTCATGTAAGACAGACGGACATAATCTTCACCCTGTATCTCCCTAGCTTTCCTGCTCTATCGCTATCGTGGTGCAGACGCCTCGAAGCAGACGCAGTCTATTCATCCTCCGCGCAGACTTTGGTGCTAGAGGTACGGCTCGATCCTCCCTCCTGTCACCTCCTACACAGGACACACAGACGACACCATCAGACGGCCTCGTTGAGTCAGGTTGCCACACTCAGCAACCATTATTTCTGACAATACACCTTTCAGTCGGGCCTGTAAATTGCTTATTGTCCATCAGTCTCCTCCCAGTCTCACCGTGCCAAAAGGTTCGCTTTGCAGACGTTGAAAGAGCACGAGACAAACAAGAGCGTCTCATTCATGCGGCCAACCCTCCTCGAAAGCCAGGCCACGAAGGGAAAACGTGCTCCTCATGCGGTGCCACCACCACCACATCCATTTAGACTTCACAGTGCTCCCCTTCAGAAGCCCCGTCTCCACACCCAAGACGCTTCAAACTGCACAAAGGGATCTGGCCGAACGGCATCAGGCCAGCTGCCTGCCCTTGATTGCCTGCTTTATTGGTTCCTGATGGGCGACCCAGGTGGTCGGCTTAGCGAATCCTTTGGCCGTCTAGAGATATTCCGATCAACCGCCGACGACATCATAGCCCTCCCTCCCCCTTCTTGGGTGTATTGAAACGCTATTGTATTCCCTTTGAAGCTTGTTTCCTGTGTGCCTGGCTGTGTAATGTCACCCATGACCTCGACCCTCCCTCCCGAATGACGATGACGCATGACTCGAGGTGCTCCTGACCCTCAAGTCGGTTGACTGCTCCCGAAACGTCCGCCCAAGGTGTTCTAATCTAAGTGCTCTCATGACACATCCCGGGCGACCGTCAAGGTGGTCTGCAGAACAGCGGTGGCACTCAAAGTGACAAAGCCGATATCGTATCAGAACAATGGGTGCTCCGCAGTGCAGACAGGCCTGCGAAGAGGGGCTGCTTAATGGCTTGCATCAGAAACGTGGGTATTCGATCGCTCAGCCCCGCGCCATGAGGGCAACGGGGCTTGTGGAGAGGGTTTGGGCTTCGAGCACTCTTTTCGAATTTCAGAAATAGGATCTCTTTGTCTGATGGACATCGCTATTCAGAAACGCCGCGGGGTCAGGTCGACGGCGGCAGAAAGCGAATCGCGAAAATCACCACTTGAGCGGCAAAACTCGCAACAGGACGACATCAAGGGCATCAGGGTTTAAAGCGTCACCCGCGATTGCCGCCAGGTCGCCTCGGAAACACGAGAGAAGACGTGCGAACAAGTCATCGAAGGAGGTGGGTGGTCGTCAAAACCACCAAAGTTGCGATGCGGTCGTCGCGACGCGGCTCTGTCGCGCGAAGCAGGCGCGTTCTAGCGCGTTCGGTCGCGACTTTTTTAGATTGCGTGCAGCTCCCATTGCCCAATCAGGAGCGACCGTGCACGAACACCCCGTCCCATTGGCTCGTCAAATCTCAGACCGTTTGACCCGACACAGTGCGCCGGTGCCGCTGGTGGGGCTCTTCCCTGCTCGCTTGATACGTACCCGTCGTCTTATCCAACGTCACCTCGCGCGCCCAACCTGGGAAAACTCTCGACCTGAACATCCACTTCCGCACACGTCTGTGAGTCCACGTCAGGGCTTGTCGAATGCTGGCTGCCACGAAGTCGAGGGGCCACAACGGTGGGCAAGGGCATGGCATGGCATGGCGAACCCCCCGGGGCTTGGTCGATTCTTCTTCTCTCTCCACGTCTCTGCGCTTCTCCTGGCTCTTCTCCCGGTTTTTCGATTAACATGATGTCGCTTCATCCACCCGAGTCGTCATAGCAACCAGGTACCACGCTCGCTTAGGTTTGATGAAGTGGCCGGGGGAGCCGTGTAAGTCGACCGACGACGTGCCATGGACATCAGGTTGCTTCGATAGCTGGTGTTTAAACTTCGTCATCGGCGACTTGGCCATTTGTGAGGAAATGAAGCGAATGTTCTCTTCTCTGCGATTCCTGTGTTGCGGCCCTTTCGCCAAAATCAAGAATTCACCAGTTCACCAGTTCACATGGCGAATAACTTCTTTCTAGCTCGGCCCATGAAGCACGCTTATGCAATTGAGTCTCCAGGTCTGGATTAACGCAGTGCTTGGGTCCAGTCCCTAATGTGCTTTCGGCAGAAATATCGACCATAAATGTCCAGGCCCCAGTTGTTTGACGAGGTTAGCAGCACAACTCTGAGGCTGGGAAACTAACCCCTGTCTCCAGATCAGTCATGCTTCGAAGCACAGACGCAGGGCATTGCCGAGGCCTTTGGAGCCTCCGTATCTTCTACATCACAAATAAGAGAGCACAGAAGATCAAGATGGCGCAGCGCGGCAGTATGGGAACCATCAACCTACGGAGCGTGAGCCAAGCCATTTACGCCCTTACGCTTCTTGGGCTCCCTCTGCTCCCCCATCCACTCGCTATCGACCTGCATCGGCCAGCCCATGTCATCATCACCGCAGTTGCTCGTTTCATGCAGCTGCTGCCTTTTCTTGCCGTTTGTGTTGACAGGTTCAGCGATCGAGGGTTCCATGTTTGACTCGCACAGGTCATCCAGCTCCATCACCGTCGCGTCCACTTCCAGCTGGCCATAGTAGTCTCTGAAGTGGTCGCCCAGCGAGTGGAAAATACCACCATCGATCTTGGTGCGGTACGCTCGTAGACAACCCCAGGCCTCAGCGTATGCGTGGAAGAGCGCTTTGTCGTTCGGGCTGGAATGTCCATTCCTTGTCAATCTGTAGACAACCAGGTACAGCTTATCGTTGTTGCGCACGTTCCGGCCTATGGCGAGCCTCGGGTCGACGTAGAGGTTGGCGTCCTTCAAGGTATCCTTTGCAAAGAACTGCGGGATGTTGCCGTTGAGGAAGAAAACCTCGAATGGCTTCTCGCCAAAAGTTAGGAGGTCCCTGCTGAGTCCCTGAGCGTCCCAGATGTCTGCTCTGGACTCCTCGTCTGCAGCAATATCTGCGGCAGTGTCTGGATCTGCATCATGGGCGAAGAATCCAGCCTCTTGTCGACTTGGCGCATCCTCGGGGTGGAAAGCTTCTAGGTACGTCTGGTAGCGCAGGTCGAGCAGGAAGAGATAGTTTATCGGGGTCCTCCAGCCCATGGCCGCCCAGTTTCCGCCAGCTATCAGCATGATTAGAGGGCGGAACAGTCAACGTCCGGGCTGCACTTACTCTCTCGAACCCATATTATCTTGAGTGTCATATACACGAGGTAGGGGGTGCCGGTCTTGTATATCTTGGCGCCGTGGAGGAGATCGAACGTGTGTTGCAGGCAGCTATCAAATTTAGCCTTGAAAATCGAGGCGTCCTTCAGATTAGGCCTCTTCAGGGTCAAGTCGTTGAAAATTGACCTCAGAACAGGCAAGGCCTTGATTTCGCTGAGGTCAATATGCTCCCATGAGTAAGTTCGCGGATCCGTATCTGCCGCATGCGGGTGAGGAGGCACAGGCGCGAATTGTTCCCGTTTGGCCTTGCGTTCCTCCAACTCCGCCATCTCGGCGTAAGTTCTTCTTAAGCCCGGCTCATACAAGCGCTGGTTGTGAAGATGAAGTTTGCATTTTGAGAAATTTCGCAAGAGTCGTCTACCAGGCAGCACCAGTCCCTCGACCCATAAAAGATCGACGACCCACAGATGCGGTTCAGATCGAAGCCACAGCCAATCAAACGGATTCAATCATGGAGCTCGCAGCGACACGTCAACCGCAGGTCCAGCGCGGACTTCAAAAGAGAATAGGAGAGTCAAAGACTTTTTTTTTTTTTTTTTTTAGAGGAGATTGCATATCTTGCCTGTTTTTATGTGCCTACAGGTCCTGCATGCTGGAACAAATTCGGAGTCATGTTTAAGGAGATAATGATGACTGCAGAGACGCCAACGATATTAGAGACAACAGCAGCAGCATCCGACAGGATTTCATTTTTTTCACTAGGGTGATCAGAGCAATCTATGGGTTCTTTTCTCGGGCGGCCCTGGATTTTAAAGCTTTTTCCGAGTCTCGGTATTATAACTGTCAATCCCTCCTCTAGGCTGTCCGCTTCCTTAAGATCATTCGGTGTTCCTAGATCCGCCAAGCTCTCGCTTTCGGTATCGACAGGGGCCTGTAGCTCTTCATCCTGGCCTACTGGTATTTTCTCTCTGTTCTTTTTGCAAAGCGCAATGGAGAGGCTAAAGCCTCCAGCTGGCGCTTGTTCTCATTCTTCTCAGGAGCTTCGTGGACCTCTACTGCGATCTCTCCCTCAAGCTCAAGACCTACTCGGACTAGCTCAGTCACAAGTGTGCCGTAGTGGTTCTTAAAGTGATCCCCCAATGAAGGAGCAAGTTCCACGGAGAGCGAGGTGCGAAAGGTCCGCAGACCGACCCAAGCCTCAAAGTATGCTTTAGACAGACCCTCGACGTTCAAGCTGTACTGCTCGTTTCTTCTTGGCCTGTACACAACAAGGTAAAGCTTCTCGTTGCGCATGGATCGAGTAATACAGAGCCTCGGATCGATACATCGGTTGACGTCTCTGGAGGCATTTTCTCCATAGAGCTCCCTGACTTCACCACCGAAGTGAACCTCGAATGGCCTCTCTCCATTTCTCAGCAAGCCTCTGTCGATTCCCCCAGTTTTCCAAAAATTCTCTCCTATCCTTATCGTCTGCGGTAATGTCCGCATCGATGAACGTCGTGATCTGCTGATACTGCTGCCGAGGGCGCTGCTGGTAAGGTTTATATCGATGCGGCAGGGTCTGGGCCGGTGCTGTGGGGAGCTGTTGAGACTGTGAAGCCACAATGTTGTTAGATCATGGTAAACGGATACTGGAACGCAAATACTCACAGCTGGGTTCGGGAGAGCCGGTCAGGTCGTAGCCTGTTCTGGCCACTCGGTGGATGTCTGTGAGGACCTTGCGCGCGCGTAGGCGCAGGCGCAGGCGTGGAAACTGGCTTTGGCCGCGGTGGTGCAGCACCGGGGTGAGAGACCTCCAACCATTCCTGGTAGCGCATGTCTCGGCGTTCCCTTCTAGTCAATCTTCTTCTCCTTGGTCTTAGGCTTCTCAGTGCTCGCCTCAACCTCGGGCTGCGGGACAATCTCGGCCGCTGGGGGTTGGGTTGGTGGGCGTGGCGGCCTGCTTCTCCTTCTCCTTTTGTTTCTCCCACTCTGCCCTCTCCGTGGGATTCTGTGTTTCACCAGACGCAGAACAATTCAACTGCGTGGTTGAAAAGAGATGACTGTGGAAGAGATGGAGGACTTTGAGAAACTGGAGAGGTGGGATCTGCTAAGGCAGGCCGTGTAAGTCCTTTGATCCGTAAAATCTCACCTGGGACATGGCCAGAGCCAATCAAGACGCTTCGTTCATGAGCTCTCGACGACATCCCTTAAAAACAAACGCACAGGTCTAAGGGGGCTGGTTCATATTGCTGACGAAAGAATAAGTATAAATAGCTTGATTTCCCTAAAAGCTGAGAGATAGAAGGATGCCAATCGATGGACGTCTTTTGCAAGGGACGTTTGAGCAGCAAGTACCTAGTACTGACTGAAGTGGTGTATATTTGCACCTTCTTGATCAAACCGGCTCAGTGAAAAGTTTTTCCAGAGCTTTTGTTTAGAGATAGATATCAGCTATCTGTTAGAGGGTCATGAATTGCGCGGTCAAAGCCGTCTATACGTATAGGATAAGTGCTAAAAATTGGCATTGCCTTGCCTAACCTACAAACCATTGTATTGAATTAGAGCTTTGTATTTTCCATAAGCATTGATTTTTAGCTGTCCGAGAATGGAGGGTTTTTGGCGGTTGTAAGCATTTTCTTTCCACTTACTGACCAACCTGCCTAATCTAACCGATTTCACATTTGAATTGTACCCTCCCCATACACACGCACACACACACGCCTCGCCCACGGCCACAAGTACCCGCGTCGCCCGCGTAAGTGACGAGAATTCACCCTTGCCACAGTGAACTAAAGTGAAACAGTCATTCCAGTGATGGCGATGCCTTCCAGAATTGGCGTCTCGAGCCGAAGAACACTAGGGCGGCAAGAAGAAGGCCCGAATCGAAGAAGTCGCCTAGAGCGACGATAGTGATTACAGGCAATCCAGCGACGACAGCGACGTCGATACTGACAGCGACCTGGAGAGCTTGATAGATCTGGGTATATCCAATGGCAAAAGTGCTAAGACCAGCGCTACGGCCACGAGAAAGACTCCAGCAACAAAGGGCAGGACAGCCCAGGAGGACCTAGAGGATACTGAAGAGGATGACGACATGGAGTTGGGCAGGGAGGAGACTTCGAAAGGCAAGAGTGCTAAGACGAGCGCTATGGCCAAGAAGACCTCGTCAAAGAAGAGAAAGGGCAAGACAGCTCAGGATGAAGAACGTGTTTGTGAGGGAAAGTCGCCGGCCTGGGTCAACTTCGAGACGATGTTTTTCGGCATCGTCAACGGGCAGGAGATCTTGCGTGCCTTGAATCAGAGGTTCCCGCGCCTCAAGGCCGAGGAGCTCGACGACCTGCTGCCAGACACTATACCCGACGAGGCGTACGATGAGGACTGGACGGCCGAAGACGAGGCCAGCCTCAATGAAACGTGGCAGAAGGACCCCCTGCGCGAAAGTCTCATCGACTACAAGGACTCGACACTTCCAAAGCTATTTAGAGCCAGCCTAAGGATTTTCCACATCTCACCCTTTGAGATCATCTCGGCCAAGTATTTCCTCGGATACGAAGGCAAATCCGCTGACAAGTCTCAGAAGTGGACAACAACCTTCTCGCAGTATATGTACGAGCTGATTATTCATCCCCTCTGGGACTTCGACCTCAATATGTTCAGAACTGCTATGCAGTATGCCGTCATATTGCGCAATCGAGACGTCCGTACCTGGAAATTTGTCGCACCAGACAACGACCCTTTCTTTCAAACATTCAAGCAGGTCATTGCAGACTTCAAGGGCCAGGATAGGCCCATTGCAGAGCATCACGCAGAGGTTCGCGAACGCCTGAAGAGCCGGGCGCTCAAGATTCCGCCATACTCTGAGTTCCTGCGGCGCCTCGAGAGTGTGGCCGTAGTGCGCAAAGACATCGGTACCGATATCACCGACGAACACGGGCCGGTACTGGCCTACCGCGTCAACAACAACGATCTGAAGTATATCAAGGAGGCGTTGGATAGCCTGGCCAATATCGGCATGCCCTACTTCCTCTCCACGGAAGTCTATTCACGCTACATCCTCGGCAGCCGGCAAGACGTCGGAAAGGGGGCGCACAAGGGAGAGGAGAACAAGGACGAACCGCCCGTCGGCGGGTCCAACTTGAAGGAATACATCGGACGGGCTCTGCTGGCGCTCCGCAGAGGCGAGACTAAGGAAGCGAAGCGGAGGAAGCGGCTGAGGCAAGAGAGCCAGGACGAGATCATGCAGGCCGAATCAAGCGCGTTGGCAGAGACACAAGCTCAGCTCAATGCCGAGAAAGAGTCAACGAATAAGCTACGGATCAGGCTGAAGGCAAGAGACACCAAGATTGCCCGACTCGAGAAGGAGTTGGAGGACCTCCGAAACAAGGCTCCGCAGGGGGCCCCGCAGAGCAGAGTCGATATCTCCGATATTTCGAGCAGTGACACTGACTCTGATGTGGAGTCTGTTTCTGGGAGGAAGATGGGGCAACCTCTAATACCAGAGGTGAAGAGAGAGCCATCTATCAAATCAGAATCGGAGGACACCGATACAGTTTTTGGGAGCTTGGCATAATCTTAATCAATGGCCTTGCGAAGGCCGAGAACGTCCAAACTTCCAAGACCGGAAGTAACTATAGATAGAGGCACGGGAACCGAATTGGAGGCGAATCGGAGGCGAATCGGAGGGAAGGGTGGTCAGTTCCAAGACCGGAACTTTGAAAAGGTAGCTTGAGAGTATAAGAGCAGCACAGCTCGAGGGGTTCAGCATATACATATAGCTCTGATCGAAAACAAACTCTTTTCTACCATTTGTTGTCATTGACATGCTTAACGCAGACCGATCTCTATTACTCTGTTGATTATCTCCACTGAGCCCTGAGATTAAAAAGTGTCGGTTAGTGGTGACATTGATGTTAAAAGGGCAGACATGGGTTTCAGTAGAGTGACATGAGTTAATTACTTAGACGGGCGTCTCATTCAGTAGGAGGTCTTCCTGGCTGTGGCGTTAAATGCAAGAGTAAGGTAGGCAGTCGCGGTTGCCTTGCTATACATACAGTCCCATACATATCCGAAAAGGCAAGTGCTCTCACAGTCCCACTGCCAGCACAACTTCCCTCCCAGGTCAACTTCTTCATGTATATCAAGGAGACCACCCAAGAGTTGACAGCCAGATTGGAAGGAAAGCGCAGCGAAGCTGAGTATCTCAACAAGGTAAGACGGGATCTACAAAAGCGCACTCCAAGCTTGGAGGCCATTGAATTGACATTTCCAACCGATAGAATGGAATGGGACGCAGAGATGGGCAGGCAGGAGCAGGAAATCACCGATAGCAGTGCCCTCCGCAACGAGCCGGAACGCATTCTTGACATCGACCCTGCGCCCAGTGCTCCCGATCCGAAGAGAAATCAACCTGCCGGCCAAGAGGTCGATAATGAACTGATGGCTCTCCTTCCAAATTCCCTCAAGTACAAGAACGAAGCTACGACACAAACAGCCACGGCGAAAGAAAATCTGAAAACCGGCAAGAAGGTGCTGGAGTCACTGGAAACAATTCTTGCGACGCAGGAGAATCTGAACAAGGAGCTTGAGGAAAAGACTTTGAAACTAGAGAAGTCCCTCGTCGAAAAGGACGCCGCGATTAAAGCGCTCGAGGAAGCCAAAGACAAAGCTGAAACTCACAGGAATAGTTACAGAAAGCAACTCATGACCTTGAGGGCAAGCGACATCATGTACAAGGAGCACGTTGTCAAGGTTGAGAGAGATTGCGACCGATACAAGAAAGAAGCAACACAGCTTCGCAGCGAACTCGAAAAGGCGAAACAGAAGTACGATAAGGACATGCAAGAGTCAGAGGACAAGCGCGAGAAGGCAGTCTCATCAGCCACCAAGGCGCACGAGGCCTCCAAGCTATTACACGAGAAGGAATTGGAACAGATGCAACAACGCATCGACGAGGCTACGACAGCCCGCGACTCTGAGAAACTGGCGATGGAAAAGCGCATCGAAGAGTATGAGAACAAGGTTGAGAAGTTACAGCAAAAAAGCAAAGAGACTGCAGACGCGCATACAAGCACAACGAAAGATTTACAGAAGCGTCTTGATGATGCTGCTGCCACACACAAGACTGAGATGGAGGAGATGTAACAACGCATCAAGGATGACGAGGTCAAGCATAAGGGAAAAATGGATGAGATGGAGCAACGTCTGACCACGTCCAAAGCCTCTTACGATGCTCAGCTGGACGATATTGAAAAAAGCGCCGAGAACTCTGAGACGTCGCACAAGGAGAAGGTGAATACGATGCAGCAACTCATCGAGGATGCCAAAACAGCCCATCGTGAAGAGCTAGGCGAGAAGCAACAAAGTATGGATGCAGCCAAAGCCGTCCACGACGCCGAGACGGACAAGTTGCGGATAAGGATCGAAGACACCAAGGCCATGTACAAGAACAGGGTGGGGGTGGCTCAAAAGCAACTGAACGACTCCAAGGCTACACACGAGGACAAGGTGAAGGAGATGCAGAGGCAGATCGACGAGTGCAACACCGCACGCGATAAAGATGCGGAGGAGCATGGGAAGGAAATGAAAAGCATGCGAGATGCTATAGAGGAGATGAGAAACACACATTGGGCCGCCATAGAGACTGAAAAGTCATCGCACGGCAGGGAGAAGCAGTCGTTGGAAACGACTCACTACAAAGAAAAGGGAGGTTATGAGACAGCGCTCAAGAACATCAAGTTGGAGATGGGAACGCTCAAGAAAGAGCACGCAGCAGCCACCCATAATGCCAAAGAAGAGCGTCATCGGCTCGAACAGAAGGCTACCGGATTGGAAGATCTAGTACTGATACTGAGTGACTCAAAACTCGAGGTAGAGAGGCACTTAGAGGAGGAGAGACGCGACGCAGCGCTGAAAAGTTCGCACCTCGAGCGTCTCCAGAAGGACTTGGCAGATGTGGAGTTGCAGAGGGTTGATGTTGGAAATCAGCTCGTCAGCATAGAGGCCGAAGTGCAAGTGCTGAAGGAGAGTCTCAGCACAGAGATGACCGAGACAGCAAAAGCTGAAGAGAGTCTCCGGCTCGCCAATGAGTTCCATACCGATGCAATTTTCCAATGGGCTAGACTTTTATTTGGTCCAAGGGAGTTCTATAGCGAACAAACGCTGATATCAGCCATTGGCCAAGGCACTCAGGCCGCAGGCCACGATCACAAGCCTTGGCTTATCAGCGAGTCTTGGACAGCAGATCAACAATACTCGGAGTTTCCTGGTCACGAGTTAGGGGCGGTCGTTTCGATGCTCGTTCAGGACCTGCAAGACAAAGTGCTTGGGATCAGCGTGTTTCACGGTCTGATGCGGAGACTGACCAGACTGGTCTCACGGGCTCCACGAGTCAACACAGCGTTGATACAGTGGATTATCGACCACAGCAATTGGAGTCTTTCGACAGTCCGTCCAAGTGAGCTTAATATCCCTGCGCGAGCTGCCATCTGGGCGCTGGCGGACGTTCTGAGACGGAGATGGCCCAGCACTGGACACATCGAAGACTCGCACGAGGTCATGCAAGAGTGCTGGGATCTCATCGCTCAGCATGACCCCAAGGCAGTCGACGCCGAGGGACTCAACGCCCAAGGGAAAGTTCCAATGGTGTTGGAGCTCCTGCAAGACAACAATGGGAGTGTTATTCACATCGTCAAGAAGCCCGAATGGGCGTGGGCTGTCATCATGGACATGCAGAGACATACCTGCGCATTCGTCAAAGAGAACTGCTTGCGAGAAGTGGCTATGGGTAATGGTATATGGGATAAGGAGGTCAAGGCGGGGAACATGGTTATCCACTTAGACATGAGTAAGCCAGAGTGCGTAGACTTTTATATGGAATACTGGGTATTTGAGGACTAAATAAAAGTATCGCCTGGCTCCTTTATCGCGTGTGTTTTATTTGTGAGTGTTGATGCATGAGTCTTACTTTTGCTGTACATTGCATAGGTACGCTTCGGACTAGGCCCCCAACTTTGAGAAGCATCAAGTCCAGTTGGGCACGCCTTCGCGCATATTTTGGGCAAAGTATCAATTTAAGCTACCTTACTCCTCCAAGAGCGATGTTGCCCTTGGCCTCTGAGAGCGATGTTGCTGCTCATAACCATCTGCCTAGAACTCTTTCGCCCATCTTCTCTGCGACAGATGCCCTTTTCCTCTGAGAGCGATGTTGCTCATCATCACTGCATACCGATATCTGCGTTGCCCGTTTCCTATGAGAGCGATGTTGCTCTCATCTCCTCCGACGGCTGTATCGCCCCTCTCCTGCCTGTTCCAACACCCCTGAGACGATGTTGTCTCATTTCCTGAGGTCGCCGAACCAGGCATCGTCGCTGTTCTCCTCGTCGCTAAACGTGGCATCGTCGTTGTCGCCTTCACCAGACGAGACGTCCTCTTTATTGTCCTCCTCATCGGACGAAGCGTCTTTGTTGCCGCCCCCCTCATTGTTACTTCCTTCCGCACTTGACGAGGCAGCGGTGTTGCTGCCTTCCGCTCTGGGCGAAGCATCGTCGTCGTTGTCCTCCTCCTCCCTGTCGCCTTCCATGGAACTGTAGGAAAAGTCATCGTTGGGAGCTTCTCCGAGCTGCAGCCAGACCACGTTCTGGAGCTGCGCGTCGATAAAACTGAAGAGCTCTTCGGCCTTTTGGTTCATTTGCTCCGCGAGCTGCTTCGCTTTGTCTTTGCTGATGTTAGCTGGGCGATCATCTTCCTTTTCAATTGACGATTGATCGGTCTCGTTCGGTTTGTCTTTTGGCGAGGTAGGCGCCATGTTGACAGTTAGGTTTTATTAGTTGCGAGAGGGTGGCTGGAGTGATTAGGTGGGTTGCTGGATGAATTTGTGATGGAAAGTCCGAGGTAGGAAGGTAGGTGTTGGAGGAGGTAGTGAGAAGAGAGAAGGGGTGGAAAGTTGATTAAAGGGAAAAAAAAAAAAAAAAAAAGGGGGGGATGTGAACAAAAAAGCAGCGCAGGTTTTTCAAAGATATATTATGAAAGGCATGCTGAAATTATATAATGTGTAGAACTTGGCTAACTTGCAGACTTTGATAGATGTTAAACGACGTATGCTGGGCTAAGTTGTAAATTTATGTGCGACTGGCCCATCTGCACTGCTTTTCTAAGAACCCGACTGAGATCTTAGTATAAGCAGGTTGGTGTCACAAATTCTAGTGCAAGTAGCTCACTTACACTATTTGTTAAGAATTTCAACGCCATTAGATCTACTCTAGGGCTATACTCATTGTCAACATTCAGTACATCGCTATGCTCTACCGAGAATAACATCATTCCCTTCTTTACCTCGGCCATGGGTGAAATCGAGTCCACGTCCGGGCTGTCGTTTGATGTATCATCTGCTACCTAAGGCGAATAGAGCACACACATTATAGGACATAGACGACAGCGCATTTCGAGGAGGCTTTTTACATGCAGGCACGACAGAGCAGTTTGGCGGCCACGAACAAAGGGGATTACATCAATGGGATTGAAGAATACATCATCAGACGGGGTCCCACGAAGGTGAACATGGCTATATACAACGTCGCCGTCTACCTCGAATCAAACACTAATACTATCCAAAGCCCCGACAGTCCATGGCTGTACGGGTTCAAAGTGCTCAGCGCGTCCCAGGAACCCAGCCCAGTGTCATGCATCGTATCATTAATTACAGCGTTGCGCCCAGGTATCTCTATCACCACCCATCGACAATCTTCACGTACACATGCAGGCCCTTGGCCGGGCGCGCGGTGACGCCGCCCTTGATCGTAATGTTCTTCTCGTCGTACTCCTCCTTGTTCTTCAGGCTGAACTCGAAGCGGCCGATCCACGAGGCCAGGATACACGCAAACTCTGCCTTGGCGAAGCCCTGTCCGATGCAGCTGCGCGGGCCGTGCAGGAAAGTCATGAAGGCGTAGTTGCTCGTGGCGCCACCGCTGGCGGCCGTCTTTTTGCTCTCGGCGTCGGCGCCGTCGCGGGGCATCCACCTGTCGGGGTCAAAGCGGCCGGCATCGGGGCCCCACAGCGCCGTGTCCTTGTTCGTGGCCCACGGGCAAAGCATGATGCGGGTTCCCTTGGGGACCTTGTTGCCGTCAATGACGGTGTCTACGGCGGCCTCGCGGAGGGTCATGGGGACGGGGGAGTAGTAGCGGAGGACCTCGTTGCAGACGGCGTTGAGGTAGGGCATGTGGTCAATGTCGAGGGCCGTGATGTCGCCGGGGGTGCCGGGGGTGGGGAGCCGCTCGCGGATCTCGAGGCGGAGACGGGACTGGACCTCGGGGTGCAGGCAGAGGCAGTAGATGGCCCACATCATGGCGGAAGCGGTCGTTTCGTGGCCGGCCGCGAGGAAGGTCATCATCTGGTCGACCAGGTTGTCCTCGCTGAAGCCGCCAGACTCGAGGGCGACTGACAGAATGTCAATGTCGGTGAGCTGCTTGCGCTCGAGCTTCGCCTTCTTCTCGCGGATGAGCTCGCGGCATGTGGCACGGATGGTCTGAGCAGCCTTGGCGATGTCGCCGTTGCGGCGGAAGGGGAGAGCGTGAACGAGGGGTCCAGGGAGGAGGAGGCCCAGAACGGCGAGGACCTGCGCCTGACGACTCGGCTTGAAGACGTGCTGGTAGGTCTGGTTGAGGGGGTTTGAGGGATCGCGAATGGCACCAAAGTCGCGTCCCATGCCTGCCATGCCAATGATGTCGAGCGTGGTTCGCGACGCCCAATTGCCAATCTCCAACACGGCCGTCTTGGGGCCCAGGGCCGCCTTCTCGGGGTCCTCGGTTCCGTCGGCCGCCGTCTTGGCCGCCTCGGCCATGACGGCGTCGGTGATGGCCTCGACGCCCTCGCATGCCTTGCTCCAGAAGAGGGGGTACAGATCCTTGACGTGGCGGAAGGCGAAGGCCGGCATAAGGTTCTTACGCTGGACTTTGTGGTTGTCGCCCTCGGCCAATAGGACGCCGATACCGAGGATACGGCCGATCGACGATCGCACGGCAGTGGGCTTGTGGAAGTCGTAGTTGTGCGTAACCAACACCTCGGCCAGGGCCTTTGGCGAGGTGATGAGCAGGCGCTCCTGGTTGAAGAGGCCGCGGTAGCGGATGATGCCCTCGTGGGGGATGGTGTTGATCCTGGTTTGTTAGTCTACGTACGTCATGCGATGCAAGTGAACATACCATTCAATCATGGGAACGCCAGTCGGCTGGCGCACGATTCTAGGGTATTGACCCATTAACCAGTGGTCGTCCTTGGGCCCGGGTAACGTGCGAAGAGCGGAAAAGTACTGAGGGTATAGGAAGACGACAAAGACTCCCCAGGCCATCATCTGGAGCATCCAGGCGCTGGCGAAGGTGACAAGGACGTGGCATCTCGAGAACACTGGCTGGCGCAATGCCAGCAATACCGCAATCACCGCCGAGCTGACGGACACTCCACGCCACGGAACCCCCATGGCGCTGTTGGTCGACTCTCGTCGGAGGCGTGGCGCCTTTGAGTTTCGAGATGATGATGACGGCGACGGAGGACGTATGGAGGTGTCGAGTTGACGCAGTCAGCTGCAAGCCTGTCGAGAGGACGTGGATGGAATGTTCGCAGAGCTGCTATGCTCGGGCAGTGGGAGCTTTATGGCGACCACGGACGAGGTCAACAAAGAGCAGGCTGTTGAAATAGAAACAACGCAAGAGCTCGGGCTAAAGCGTAAGGTTGGTAACGTAAGGTTGTTCAAGACAAGCTATGTTGGGTTTAAGCTCAATTGAAGGGTGGGAAAGGCGAGGTAGATCCCGCGTGGGCTGAGAGCCGGTCGATCGGTTTCATGCGTACGGGGTTGCGACATGGAACCAAAGCATCGCCAGCACATGCACACCCACGCAACGACGCACGCACCGTACCTATTTTCTGCGTGCTGGTGCTGTTTGCTGGAGCTGAGGCAGGGGACGTGGGCGTTGGCCTAGGAGAGGACGCGAGACGATGGGGATCAAGATGGGATGAGACGAGACGAGACGGGACAAGCCGGACGGAGGTGGTATCCAAAAGTTGGCAATCTGGCAAGTTGGACAAAGGATCGAATGCCCTTCTTGGCAAGATGGTCGGTCGAGACTGTGGGTAACGTGTTCGTGGTTCTCGTGGTGGTGTTTGTGAAGTGGTCTTGTTTGTAGGCCGGCATTGACGAAGGGGGAGGTCCAATATAGAGGAATGTTGCTGGCTCAAGTGCCGAGCTCAGGCGCAAACGGTGCTTCAGTCTCCTCGGCCGTTCTCTTGAGGTGCTGCTGGTCTCAGGCTGTCAACGTCTCGGCTGGCGCAGCCGGATACGTCTCTCTTTTATGTCGAAAGGGTGGTGTTGGCGGTGGCTTTGGACGCAACGTAGGGTTCGTCCACGAGGCAGACGACAGGTCAAAGAAGGCTTGATCTTGTTCGATGGAGCGGGAACGGGATTTGAATGGAATGGATGATCAGCACATGATGGAAGACGGCACTCCAATCCCTGGGCCCTTGTCCATCGCCGCGTGGGAGCCCAGATGGAGGGGTCGACCTCGAATTGGATCCCATTCTCGTACTAGCCCGCAGCCAATTGGGTGGTTTGGGCTAACCCAGGCAGGGTAGTCGTGTCTGAAGGGCCCACCGTCTTAGACCGAGGACGGGGGTGTAGATGCCGTAGGACCGGGGCTGGGACGATTTGTTCGCCCGATCGAAGGAAAAAGGTGCTTCTGTTGCTTCCACCTGGGGACCTTGGGACACTTGGAGCGGGGGGTTTCCTGGCTCAGCAATGGGTGAATGTTACTGTGAGAGCCACGCACCATCCATCGGGGCAGGACACGACGGGCCAGTCGCCTCTCGAGGAGCTGCAGGGGCCACTCTCGGTCCGCCTGCACGCAGTTGCAGTTGCGGTTGCAGGACCTGGAGCTCCTTCTTTTTGGTGGAGAATGTCGGACCCAGACCCCGGAGCACATCAAGCAGCAACCTGAATGCCAGCAACAACGCATCTTCTGGTCCATGTCAGCAACAGAACAGAAGCATCAGCCAGAAACACCGTCGGTGTTTAGGCATGCCGACACACCACAAACCGCATGTTTCGCATCGACCCGTGATTGGCCACGCCCCCGAACAAGAGCCAAGTCGCATAGGCTTCCCGTTTCAATCCGGTGGACTGTGCTTGGGCTTCCAGGCAAGAGGCTTCGTGTGTAGAACGAGTGAAAATGGCATTAGGCGAACGGACAACTGACAAACAATCAACCCATCTCGCCGGAAAACCCTGGATATCCGTGTGCTGCAGAGAGTGTTCGTCCCCAGAAGCATCCGTTTGGTCCAGCCTGGTTCAGCTCATCCAGAAAACTCACTTCATCCAAGGCAGCCGGGACCATCACGCCCTCCGCCAGATGGGAAACGTTGCTCGCAAGGGAAACGGCAAACGTTGGAAATTTTGAGAGAAAACACTGCACAGCCACGTTCGTTCCGTAGCCTATTCCTCTTTGCCTCTTTTGCCTCCTCGTCCGCATGCTCTTCCGCTGCACCGCAAGGTCCAGAGCCTGCCCGAGCACCCCTCTGACAGCCTTCGTTTCCGCCTACCGTCCGTGAGGATGGTTAGACTTGTGCGGATTACTTGGCGTTCGACAGGACGCAGCCACCTAAACATAGCAGAGTCGCTGGTTGCTGCTCCTCCAAGCCTGCCTGCCTGGCACTTCTGTAGCTAATCTACATCTCGCGGGTGATTGGCCACGCTGGGTCGGCCCAGATTCCGAGCGATCCTCGCACTCGTTTAACGTTATGCGGGCCTAGTCGATTGAATGACGAAAAAGAAATGAAGAAATCACCGGCCAGAGGAGCCACGAGGCTAACGCAGGCAGGCCGTCCTTCGTCCGTGTCCGTTTGCATCTCTTCGAATCCCGTTCCAGCTCCACTAAAAGCCGATCCTCTCTCTCCCATGCCATTCATCGCTTCCTCGATTTGGGAACCCCCCATCTGATGTCCGCCCACCTGAATGATTTGTGAAAATACACTTTTCGGCGCATGAATACCGCCCAGCAAAGCAGACGTATGCCAAATACGTCCCAGAAAGGAACCCTTACCATAGGAGAGATTCCTCTAAAGCAGACCATATGGAGTCCTCCGTGTCATTCAGCCCATCAGAGGCCCCCCTCCATCAGGAAATCCCAAAGGTCTCGTCAGTGACAGGATCCCACCGGATATCCCTCCACTGCACCCCAGATACTTAAATCAACGCAGAAAGCCAGCCATTCCTGGCGTTCAGACCCTTCGTCACTCTCCACGACTCTGTGCTGAGCCCTGCTCTCTTCTCCGCTCCCACCGGGTCAATCAAATCACCGAGGGACAATCCCGTTCCGTCGGAGTCTTGAGCAACCGTTGATAAAACTCCGTTCTGCCGGTCTGCGGCTGACCTGCCCCTCTATCCCCGACCGTCAGTCAAACGCACGCAACCAATCATCTTTCGGCTGCGACGAGACCTGTATTTGTCTCCCCACTTGTACTTCACTTGTCTCTCCGAATTCAAACAGCAATCACCAAAACACACTGGGATACCTTCATACATTCATTCGCTTACTAATACGCTGGCCTACAGCATCGTTGCCCACTGCAGGCGTGTTTCCTTTGCGCAATATGGCTCCTGTCAGAATGCCCGCTGGCCAACTCCCTTGGGCTCGTCGCCGTTTCCCATCACAGGGGCTTGAAGATGCCCTGAAGAGAAGTAAAAATCCTGCACCATCGACTCCCGTCTCAGATCATCGTGGTGATGCTGATCTCCAATCCCGAAACGCCAAAAACAACGCCATGATTAACCGTACCCAAACCGACGCCAGCATAAACCTGTGTAATTCAAGGAAAAAGATGAGAGAAGAAGATGTAGGCCACTTGCCATCCAAGATCAGGGTCATTGGCGTATAGCTGTCGAATCCGCTGAATGGCCTCGATAATGATGGTCCTCACCCTGTGCCGCTCCACATGAGCACGCCATGCGATGCCAGCCAAGGTCGTGGAATTCGCTATGTAACGTTCATACTACTGCGGTCCCCACGAAGTTGGTCCACCAGCCTGAGGCGTAGCAGTGCTGTCGTCGAGCATCATACGCCGGTGCGTGTCGTCGGGAGTTGATGCACTCCCGTTGTGCCAGTTGCCTGGTGCCGGAGCCGGCAGGGAATTTCGATTTAGTGGCGGTGCGGCAACGCTGTGGATGGGCGGAGCGTACGGCGAGATCGACGCTGATGATGCACTCTCCGTGTGTGCCACATAGCTCGGCGACGCATGATAACGGTTAATGTTGCCCGTAGCAAACGGCACAGGCGGTGGCACTCCCGCACCTGCCCTGCTCATTGTGTTCGGTGCGTGATTCCGGCTGGCCGCGAACGGGTGTACTCGTCTTTCGTAGCCGTTCGAGGATGAACCACCAAAGGACCCCGGGCGACCGCCGCTGAAAGGTGGGGAGCCCGGGCCGCGGAAGCTGCCGTGTCGAGACCGAACCCTTCGTCGACTCTCTCCACCGTCAGTCGGCGGCGACCGACGCTCGCCGTGAATGGGGGCCGCTAGATTTCTGCTCAGCTCGTCGAGGCCTTGGCTGTAGTCCCTTTCCCTAGAACGGCGGAACAGGCCCGACAACATATGGGAGGTGACCTTTGGCTCCGAAGGCACCTTGTCTCTGCAGTACGGGCAGCTATCCGACTCCTCGAACCACTTTTTGATGCAATGATCTCCAAACACGTGCTTGCACTTGGGCAGCCTCAGAGGTGCCTCTTTAAGACCTTCGGGCGTCTCGACGCCAAAGTCGTTGTAACAGATGACGCACGCTACGGTTCGTTAGCTCTTTTCCTTCTCTCATCTCAAGTGCTTGAAACTCACTTCTTTCGCTTTCGGAAAGATCCGAAATTGCCACGCTCTGCAGGGACTGAATGGCAGAGTTGGATGCAACCATCTTCGTTGTCACGGATCCACGCATTACCTGAGCAGCTCTTATCTGTATGTCATCGAAATCACGACCCGGGTGCCCATGCGGGTTGAGTACGAAATTTTCGAGAATCTGCAACTCCCTCTCCTGGTCCGGATCGCGGTCTGGTGGCGGTGACGGTCTCCTCATCCCACGTCGTCCAAGAGCCGGTACTCTACGGCGCTCCACCGCTGGGACGACTGGCACCGGGATGTTTGGTGAGCTCGAGGACCCGGTTGACGACCCGGCTGGTCTAGTGTGAGCAGAGCCAGGGAAGAGCGCGCTGTTTGATGCGTTTGAGAAGCTCTCACCTCCTGAAGCTGTGCGGCGCGGCCAGTACGACGACGGTGTAAAGGCGGGGTTCGGTTGAGGGGCTGACGAGGGCGGTGCAGACCCGAACTGGATGCTGGGGTTCGCCGGCAGCGCCTGGACCGGGCCACTCGGGAAATCAGGAGGCGACGTTTCGGGCGAGGAAGGGCCTTCGGTACTGGAGGTTGACGGAGGCAAGTTTACAACTACGG